ATTTTAAGAAATCAGTAAATAATATTAAATATTTATTTTATTTAATTCCTTGACTATTAGAATGTTCAGAAGCCATTTATATTCACGCCTAGGACTCTAATAACCTAGGTAAATGCTCATACCATTTTTAAAGTAAAATATTACGTAAAATAATATATAAAAGATACATAAGCTCGGTGGGTAGACGTAAGCTTAAATGGTTGGATGAATGAAAACCAAAATACTTTGTAAAGCAATAATTTCCGTGATTCAGCATTTCATGACGCTAATTAATTATCGTTTAAGCCTCAAATGCGATTCGTTAAAATTTCGTAATTATGAGCTTAATAAAAGGAGCTTACAGTGCTGGAGGTACATTGAGTGTATCTTGCTTTTGTTTAAAATACTATTTCTTACTTTATTAGCGTTGTTTACTGAGATCTTAGAACTTATATCTCGAGGTGGGTGGCGCATTTACGTTGTGGATGTCTATGGGCTCCAGTAACCACTTAACACCAGGTGGGCTGTGAGCTCGTCCACCCATCTAAGCAATAAAAAATAAAATTTGTGGTAATGCTAACGAATCCACAAGGGCGAGAACTACACTAGGAGAAGCCACACACGTTTTTTCGTTGCCAATGTCACACCAGTCAACAGTCCACGTGCTATATGGTTACAATTACTTATTGACACCATATTGACATTGACATTTTTACTGGTGGTAGGACCTCTTGTGAGTTCGCATGGGTGGGTGCCACCGCCCCGCCTATTCCTGCCGTGAAGCAGTGATGCGTTTCGGTTTGAAGGGTGGGGCAGCCGTTGTAACTAACTATACTGAGACCTTAGAACTTGTATCTCAAGGTGGGTGGCGCATTTACGTTGTAGACCTCTATGGGCTCCAGTAACCACTTAAAATCAGGTGGGCTGTGATCTCGTCCACCCATCTAAGCAATAAAAAAAAACCCCAGTAATGGCACAGCTAAGTCCCTCCACTGCTGAGGAATCCTTTCAAACTGCGTTTGAGGAAGGACGCATCATATCCTTTTGGAAATAACGTGAAGGGGATTTCATTAGGCAGCGTCACTATGCTCTTAGCATTGCTGTTTTCCATGAGCAACGGTCACTACTTAATATTCTCTATGGGCCTTATACTCGTCTGATCACCCTGCCAATTAAAATAGCTGTACAGTTTAAAAGAGGGTGGTAAAATAAATGAAACTTTAAGCACATTGTTGATGAACGTAGCCGCTAAATATGGTAGGGGTGAACTCTGCTCCAGTAGTGGTGTGATGGTCAAAAAGATATGGCAACATCTTAAACAATAGCTCAACAAATTTTCCCTTTCCTATGGATCGTACGGTACAAAACACACAGAGCATCAAAGTTTCTATATAGAGTCACTCGCCAGTATTCCTCAGTGTGTCTTCAATCCGAACATTTTTGTCGGCACGTGACTAAGCATAGCGTTGTCTCAACAGAGGGAGGCCTATTGTTTGCGTTTTCAATACATTAAAACGGATCGCTAATGGATTCTGATACAATAATACCGATGTATCAACATTAATATGTATTTATTAGGGTATCATTATGCAAGCTTTTATGGTAGCCTTTTTTATAGTGTTGTATGTTTGCGTCCTAAAGTGAGAGCATCGGTAGTTGCTATCGCGTTTTATAGGCATCATTGAATACTGCCTCCTAGCTTGATAGACAGAGATATCTTAAATTAATTAGTAATGCCCCACCTTCCTAATATTTAAATCTTATTTTAAAATAAGGGCTAAAGTAGCAATAATTAAAAGCCTAAACTGAATCAGCTATAGATAAACTAAGAATTTGTCACGTGCATATTAATAATAACAATAAGCCAGGTCCAAGCCAGTTTTGTGCAATTTGGTACCAAACGAGGTGCATTTAGTGTGGGGGTAATCGTGGTCACAGCACAGGAAGGTCAAAGATCGCAGTACTGCGGCCACACACCGCATTTAATTTTACCGTCTATGATACTCTCCAAGAAGCCGAAGATAGGATGACATGGTACAACGTTGTGAGGATGAAAATCGTTGATGCTGTTTGTGGCTTGTAAACAAGTAATTCACCTTGCCTGTGCGGGCTTAAGCTATACTATTATACTTTAGATTTTGGTATGCAACCCACTTAAAAGTGATTAGAAATTTTGAGGCAGTAACTACCTACAGCCACCTGTTGTTTTGATGTACCTGCATGACATGATAAAAAAATGATTTATAAATAATTGTAATCTATATTTAAATGAAGGTCGCGTACACAAATGACGCTGACTATTTAGATTGTTGTATAATGTATTGTAATTGCTGGTTTTATTCATCATTTATACTAAAATTGTTCATCTCAAATAAACATTAAAAGTTATCAGATCCGTATAATTATATTTGAACAACAATAAACCGGTATTTGATAGATGAATCACATCACTACAGAACAGGAAGTTACTATTTTTATTGGTCTCCACTAAATTGTGGGCAGATGTCGGTCATAGCAAGACGTTACATTCACAATACTCGTCGTGGCAGAGTTCATATCTATCACTGTAGTTTGCATGCTTTGGAATGTACATCCCTATAACATCGTCTGTCCGGCCTCGCGGGCGCTTAGGGGGCGTGGATCGGGCTTCGGGGCAACCCCATATATCCGTGGGTAGACTCCCTACCTAACAAGGCAGGGTTTTTGTGTTTACAAGAATTTCTTTAGGTGCTGTTATTTCTTCTTTGCTTCTCTTACCTCTCACTAGTAGCAGCTCCCCTCCAACTAATATTTGAAATTTTTATTTTTTACTAGCTGACCCGGTAGACTTCGTAGTGCCTCAATCGATAAATAAAAGACCTAAACTTTTGTATAAAATAAACTTAAAAAAACGAAAGGAATCCGTCCGAGGGGGGGGGGGGGGTGACACATCAAAGGAAAAACAAAATTGTTTGTTTTTATATAATTCCGAGCATTTTCATATTTTTTCAATAGAATATTGCTCAATAAATCTATCGCCGTTTCAATTGTTCAGCTGCCATTTTAGAAGAAATTTAATTGAGTTTGATGCTTCGTTCTATTTTGGACCCGTCGCCTGTCGCAATGTCCGCCCGGACGTTTGCCCTGCAAGTTTAATCAACGCAGAACGATATCCAATCGTTTATTTTAGCGGCGAAATTATATTTCCGATTGATTTTTGGTACACAGCTCTATTTTCAGCTACTCAAATTGACTTTGAAGCGTCGCTCGTCATCTATACTAATATATCCATCTATATATATAAAAATGAATTGCTGTTCGTTAGTCTCGCTAAAACTCGAGAACGGCTAGACCGATTTGGCTAATTTTGATCTTGAATTATTTGTGGAAGTCCAGAGAAGGTTTAATAGAGTTCTTAATAAGGTTTAAGAAAATGTAGATAAATATTATATCACTCAGAATTAAATAAAAATAACAATTTTGTTTCCCATTGATGTGTCCCCCGTCAGACGGATTCCTTTTGTTTGTTGTAAGTTTATTTTATACAAATGTTTAGGTCTTTTATTTATTGATTGAGGCATTACGAAGTCTGCCGGGTCAGCTAGTACAAATATATAAATATACAGTGGTTTTTACGGATGTTCCGTTATAATTACTGAACCATGCATGTGATTGACTTGAAGCTTGGTATCCATGTAGAAAATACATGTACTTAATGGATAGGCTAATATTTATATGAGTGTTGGACTCTCTACACCAGTTGCAGGGACGTTAATGATGAGAATCTTTGTGGGGATTAGAAATAATAATAATGTTAATTTTAAATGCCCAGCGAAGTGGACGGGTAGAGCTAGTACTTCTTAAATTTGGAAAAGTATTTACGTATTTCGAATATTGAAAACATTCGCTTTTCGCTGTAACTGCTGTAATCATTTGAATTATCATCTATCTTCTATCTATATATATAAAAATGAATTGCTGTTCGTTAGTCTCGCTAAAACTCGAGAACGGCTGGACCGATTTGGCTAATTTTGGTCTTGAATTATTTGTGGAAGTCCAGAGAAGGCTTAAAAGGTAGATAAATGAATGAAAATGTTCGAAATTAAATAAAAATATCAATTTTGTTTTTCCTTTGATGTGTCCCGTCGGACGGATTCCTATTGTTTGTTTAAGTTTATTTTATACAAAAGTTAAGGGATTTTATTTATCGATTGAGCCACTACGAAGTCTACCGGGTCAGCTGTAATATATAAATTTGTTGGAATTACTCAGTTGCAACCGGTCGTGCATTGAACAAAGTTGAAGTGCGGACATTAAAGATTTTAATTCAAAGCGTTAATGTGAGCTAAAATATTATATTCCCATCAGAATCCTATGTAACGTAATTATAATGTAACTTATATTAATATTTCAAAGTATGGGCACCGGTCACAACTTGAGATCTAATTTTCCATATATTTTTTTAATTTCCCTAGTAGGTAGACGAGCGTACGGCCCACCTGATGGTGAGTGGTTACCGTCGCCCATGGACTTCACTAATTTCAGGGGCAGAGCCAAGCCTCCGCCTACCAAGCCAAGCCGCTGCCTACCAGCTCTTTACTGAAAACTGTCTATAAATTTTACCTAGAATATCTAAAAGTTCGTCATACATGTTATGTGAGTAACATGAGTTGAGATGGAGAGAGGTTTGAGATCAGCTCAAGAAAATAAAAATTAAAAACGAATGCTCTGCATCCTTTGAAAATAATGCAAGTTCTGCTTTTTTTTATTGCTGGACGAGCTCACAGCCCACCTGGTGTTAAGTGGTTACTGGATTCCATAGACATCTACAACGTAAATGCGCCACCCACCTTGAGATATAAGTTCTAAAGTCTCAGTATAGTTACAACGGCTGCCCTACCCTTCAGACCGAAACGCATTACTGCTTCACGGTAGAAATAGGCAGGGTGGTGGTACACAAGAGGTCTTACCGCCAGTGCTTTTGTAATTTTTGTATTATGTCCTTTGTATTACGATAATTATGCAAGAATATCTGATGCCAGGTATGGTGGTGAACGGGTTTGTGAACGTGGTGATCACCACTATAGAGAAGAGATTCGGCCTTCGATCCATGCAAACAGGAGTTATCGCTGGAGGGTGAGCTTTCATATTTGAATTTAAAAATAAATCTAATTCCTATGTAGATAAGGTTGGCAGTTAGATTTTTCTGTTTGTTTATATTATTTGAAATTAATAATACAACAATTATATAAATAATACAACATAGAACAATTTTAATTTAAAAATCAATAAGAACAGTTTTTTTTTGTAATTATAATGAGTGATAGGTATTGCTCGTTTTACCTGGTGGAGTGAAATTGTGTAAATTTTTTGGTCTTTAAAAAAAAAAACTTGATCTCTTTTACAATGCACTTTTTTATTGCCTTTCAGTCAGGCGAGCATACAGTTCACCTGATGGTAAGCGGTTACCGTGGCTCATGGACGTCAACAATGCCAGAAGCAGAGCTAAGCCGTTGCCTACCATTGAGTACTCTCTTCTCTCTGTAACATAAATAAAAATCTACAGTCGTCCTGGTTTAAGCTATGCGTATTTAGCCAGGTACCACTGTGTTCGTGAAACAGGTCTCCAGGTCCTGTGAAGGATGGCTCTCCGTGGGTCCTTTTAAAAAACAGTTTTTTCATGCTTCCTTTTTGCTTCACACATTTGCTGGATAAGTGACTACTAAAGTAATGATGTTTACAAAATGCTCTTAAAACCACGTGTATTTGTGTGTGTGTGTGTGTTTACCGGTAGGCAGCGGCTTGGCTCTGCCCCTGGAATTGCTGAAGTCCATGGGCGACAAAAACCACTTACCGTCAGGTGGGCCATATGCTCATCTGCCTATACGGGCAATAAAAAAAAACTAAAACCTTTTTATACAATTTTACACGTGTGTGGAAGTATTGATGTTATTGCTTAGTAAGCTTCTGTGTAGTACTTTGGACTGTCTATAACAGTTCGAAGGGTCGCACAGCTGTTGGACAGTTAAATACTTGGCATTAAAAATACCCATAAAACCAAGCTTAAATATTCAGGTACGACATGGCATCGTTTGCATGCCTGGCTCCAGTCACGTACCTCGGTGGAAGAAGCGGCTCCTCCAAACCTCGGTGGCTCGGATGGGGCGTGCTGTTAATGGGCACAGGATCATTACTCTTCGCACTGCCACACTTCCTGGTACCTCCTCATCGAGTGGCCAATGAAGATGCTGATGATATTTGCGTGCTTAATAGAACTGTGAGTGTTAGAGTATGAATAATAGCGATCATATTTGCGATTTCCAGAATAGTTTGTCTGTTTAAGGGGCTATATAACAGATTTCTCAAATGGAATGTGTAATAATAGTAAAGAATAAGGTCATATCCGATTCATACTGTTTTTGTGAGTACATGTGTATAACATGTGATTTTTTTTATAGCTTAGATTAGTGGACAAGCCCACCTGATGTTAGGTGGTTATTGGAGCCCATAGACATCTATAACGTAAATGCGCTACCCACCTTGAGATAAGTTCTACGGTCTCAGTATAGTTACAATGGCCGCTCCACCCTTCAAACCGAAACGCATTACTGCTTCACGACAGAAATAGGCGGGGTGGTGGTACCTACCCGTGCGGATTCACAAGAGGTCTTACCATTAGTAAAAACTTAACACGATTATTTTGAACAATTGTTTCACCATTAATAAAATTTATATACATGGCCTCTCCTACTTAATCTGGAATTATTAAATTGGAAATTGTTTTAAAAAAGAAAATCTGAGGAATGACGATTAAACTTAAAAGTCTACAATAATAAAAAACTAGCTTCACACATTTGCCAGCTGCGATCTTGAATTTTCTTGATTGATACTTTGGTACCTAGTAAGGAAACGAGGCAAGAACCGATACGATCAAACCACAAATAGAAATCAAGGTAGTGACCTCTAGATGCATTGGTCGTCATCATTTACTCCTAGATCAAAAAGCGGTTCAAAATTAAATGGAAAACCTTATCAACTATTCAAAGTAAAAGTTAGCTCAATTTTGTATGCAGTTGGAACAGCGCTCCTAGCGGCAAACGTACGCAAACGATTCCATTCCATACAAAAATATGAGTTAACTTTTACGCTATCGAGAACGTTTAAAAACTCGCACTAAGCACACTGAACTTAACGTTTGAGTTTACGAACAACAAATCGGATCGCTTGTAGTTAGTTAATTTGGCTTGTTCTTTAAGTGCCCTTTGGAATTACATTCTATTTATTTTCAAGTTGGATCGTTGCGAAGAAGACACACCGGCCGAAGGGGGTGCTTGGGCAGTCGCGATATTTGTGTTCGCCCAACTACTGCACGGAGCTGGCGCCACGCCCCTCTTCACGCTTGGAGTCACTTACATAGACGAGAACGTGTCGAAGAAGATGTCTTCAGTATATCTGGGTAAGTATAGCTTTTTGGGGAGCTTAAACGACAAAGGGAAGATCTTCCACCGAGCGGGTGATATTTGCTGGGTAGACCGACGGTCCAAATGCTGTTGTTAGGAACTTGTATTTAAGCAAGCTTGTCTTGAAAATGTCGTAAGCGAGATTCAGGCATCTGTCAAATATCTTGTGTTGTATGATGGCTACCTGCCACAGCTTCATCGTAATAATAACTAAGCTTAACCTGTCCCAGAATTATTGATAAGCCTTAATCCTACTCTGCATTGTAGATGTCTATGGTCTCCGTTAACCACTTAACACTAGACCTACCACCACCACCTAAGCAATTAATAAAAAATCCTATATCCATTGCTATCACGTTCTTAGGTAATGACCATGTTTTTTCTTCTTCAAGTTTGCTCGAAAACCGGTGTTGGTTGAATAAAATAATACGAAAATAAGTAGTAACATAAAGAACATAAATACATTACGCGTACGTCACCGATTATTGAAACATTTGCGGCAAACTCATCAAGCTGGAATAAACTTTTATAATACAATGCTACTTGATATTTTTCCGTTGTTTCAGATACATTCATAAGATAGAAAAATAAATCCTCTTAGTAAATAAATACTACTTTGTTCTAAGTAAGCCCTATGTACTTTACTGTGCCCTGGACAACGGTTGTAATTTTTTTTTTTATGAACGAAGGAGTAGCAGCGACGTGAATGCGTAACAAAAAAAATTACTTGCGCATTTATAAATAATTTTAGTATGAATTACCGACTCTACGAGAACTGAAATTTAAGTCCGTACTCAGTATTTCACTTGTGACCTCTATTCCTCTGTTTCTCTACTCACACTAAAACATAATTATGAATGAATGTTTATTTTTATTCATTTCGCAAAATTATATCCATGGCGGTGGATGCAAAATAAAATATTTGAGTACAAAACTGCCGAAGACATGAATAACACGAATCCCGAGAAATGTTTAAGCCTTCAATTTGTTTCATAGTCACGCTCCATAAGTAACAGAATAACTTCGAACCTATTACCTCAATAAACACGGGTATCCACTCCGCGCTACCTCACTATATAGTTCATGAGCTCCATTTAGCCAAACGATGGAAAACCTTTTATGCTCACATGTTTATGGGAGTGTTATGTTACTGTACTTTGCCGTTTAAGTTTTTATTCACGCTAGAATGTTATGAATAGCTACTCTGGTTATTAACCATGTCAATGCACTGTTAACGGGATGGGATGGTGGGGGAGGAAGCAATATTGATTACGTGGTATCAATCTATTGATCCATTGATCCTCGTTTATTTACTTTTAAAAATAAAAAAAGATAGAACGAAATTCGACCTTAGGTCGTTCAATATATCGAACGCTGGGTGGTTAGTGGAGTTTGTGCAGAAACGGTCAAGAATGTCTGTAGCCCTAATCGTGAGGATTCTCCTTCGAGTGAACAAACAAGATGTGATAAAGTAATCTTAGTAATGTGTGAACATTTAGAAGACAAATGACATTCATAAGGATCAATCTCACACTGAACTCTTCTTCGATATTATAAATAAATAAATATGAATAAATAGCTGGAGACAAATCACGCATGGTCGTCCAACCCTAAATTAGGATTTTCTGTTTTATGGCTAGAGGAGACTGACATACAGACATTTAAATAAATGCATATATAGAAAATAACCACCCAGACGAAGAGCAAACAAATCTGTTCACCACAGAAATGTTTGCCCGATGTGGAAAACGAACTTACGACTCTTGGCGCAACAGTCAGTCACTAATTACTGCACCACCAAGTCAGACAAAATATCGATATCAGTGTTGCTTAGTGCGAGTTTTTTAACGTTCTCGATAGCGTAAAAGTTAACCCAATTTTGTATGCAGTTGGAACAGCGCCCCTAGCGGCAAACGTAGGCAAACTTTTACGCTATCGAGAAAGTTAAAAAACTCGCACTAAGCACACAGTTCAAAGACCTTTCACGAAACAGGCAGTGAGCACCCACAGCATTCTCGAATGAGTAAAGACCACACTATAATAAAGAAACTGTCAAACCCTCAACCGTCAAAACCGCGGTTGACGTTCCAGTAATATGAAACAGCGGTTACAGTTTAATCAATGAGTATGCGCGCCCCCATAGAACTTCGATTGTGTGCACAATTCCAATTAATTCTCTAAATGAAGGTATAATTTATAGCTGTTTCAACAAATTGTGTTAATAAATTTATGCATTACATTAATTATATTTAGTTGTATATTTGATTATAGTAATCTTAGATTAGTAGTGATCTATGATTCAAATGCTGACGAATAATACATTAGTTGTCCACGAAAACTGTAAGTTATCTCGAAACGAAAAATGAAAATGACAACTATTCCCTGCTTATTTTACTGGTGGTAGGACGTCTTGTGAATCCGCACGGGTAGGTACCGCTATCGGGCCTATTTCTGCCGTGAAGCAGTAATGCGTTTCGGTTTGAAAGGCGAGGCAGCCGTTGTACTGTAAAAACTGAGACTTATTGGTGGTATTTACGTTATAGATGTCTATGGGCTCCGGTTAGCATAGAGTGGATCGTAAGCTCGCTCAGCCGTCTAATGCCCAAATAAACCCATTCACCCAAATTCCCCTGGACACCAGTATTGTGGTGATAATATTGGTCAAACTTAATGTTTATAATCCGGTTATTGATCGAACGTTCCACTTACCATCAACAAGCGCTCTGCAACATACTCTAATAATTCAACCTCTCAAAATAATTCGTCACATTTTTTTCCTACCTAAGCTGGTAGCTTGGAGGGTTATGCCAGCATAACCTCCCGAAATCTTGGTCTAGTGCTATCAAAAATACAAAAGCACCCTTGTAATTTTATTTATACAAAACACACATGGTTTAAAAAACTTTCTCACACCCCTAAAACAAGCACCGGGGTCCATTATCAGCCATTTCACCGTCACACTCTCACCGCTTCCCTCTCGAGAGTAAGTGGCCCTCTGAGGACAAGGAAACGTATTCAGAGGGCCATCATTGGGCGTGATGTGTGCCTCTTGAGCCATCGGGAAAGTTTCGTCGTCTAAAGTATGTTTCACACTCTACGATGTACTATACGAAGCTATTTTATACGATAAAACGGCCTTTTTTTTTTTTAATACTGGGGAATCCATTTACGGATACCCGGTCGAGGGGGGTAACGAACCGGGTTATGTCGGACTCCGGCGCCTCCTGAGAGGAAGAAGGGGAGAAGAGAAGGGCCGAGGTCCTTCACCTCCCCCAATTTCTCACAGGAGACTACGCCTTGAAAAAGGCACGCGAAGCACTTGCCCCGCAGAACGACTACCGACTAAACCCCATCGAGCTCCACCACACCGACTACACGAAACTTACCGTACCGCGATACGCGCCGAAAACGATAAAACGGCCTGCTAAATTTCCTGGCACACATAACTGTTTTGTTCATTATTGGTTCATTTTCGTTCTTTTTTCTATCGACAAGTAAAGAAACAGATGGAAAATGTATATTTATATACATATATGTATTCATCAAATGTAGTTGAATCTATTCGAAATCATACGAGAAAAGTAATAAAAACCAACTTTGAAGTTTGTTAAATGTGCATCAAAGTGGATCCATCTTTAAAAATAAGATGTGTGGTGTCGTGGGACACCATATAGGAACGAAGTTCCTTATTATAAAAATATTAATTTTAAGTTCTATTAAAGGTAAAGATGCAATAATTATTCGAGTATACATTTTTTATTACGATTTTTTTATTGATAAAAAATTAAAAAGATAAATAATAATAATATACAAAGAAACAGCTATTTATATGATTATACATAAATAATAAAAATCTTACGTTACGGACGTTTTTCCCCGGTTAGGGTACCCCTTCGCATTGTCCCATAAGGATCTTCGTTCTAAAATAATGTGTTTAAAAATCACATTAGCACAGTATTTGCAGGCTTTGCTGCTCGCGAATTAGCTAAGCTTTAACTATAGATCAACCTTTAGCCTTCACACGCTGCGGCTTTTAGCAGTGAAAACAGCAAGAAATAATGTATTTTTAAAGTAATGATACGGCAAGAATTTATCCTTTCTGTATATTTCACCTTCGCTGTTTAGAGTGTCATGAACTTATTCTCACTGCTGAAAAAGGATGTGATAAAAAAGTATGTAATATTTGTTGACAAAGTTGCTATAGCGCACACAAAATACGATCGCTTTGCCGAGAATGAACTGATAATATGATTATAACATTGTACTGTTGTAATGTTCTGTTGATTATTTGTACAAATATCAAAGTCTGGAATACTTTAACGTTATTGTGGTTACTAGGCAAAACAAACTTAAAAGAAAGTGAATAATCGGGCGAAGTTGCGAGAAGTAAGCTAGTTACTTATGAATACAGTGCACAAAAAAAAATCCTTGTAAGTACGGTTGTCACCAGACCAATAATGGAATACCAATTGCTTTGAAGATATTATAGTTTCAAATATTGAAGGAAATGAATTATTCCTAGGCCCATGTCATGTTGATAGTTTTCCCATTTTAATTTTTTAACCTGCCTTGGTAGGGAGCTGAATAGATTGTTAACATTAACCCTTAAGCACATCGGCAATGCCAGGGGCACAACCAAGACGCTGTCTCCGCTCAGGACTCCCCTTAAATCTTTGACACTTATAAACTTTCAATATTGATTCGCAAGTCCCAATATTATCATGATTTTTTTTCCGTTAACGAAAATTACAAAATTATAACTGTATACAAAGTCCTTAAAACATCGGACATTACGGCACGAAATTAAAGAAAAAAAAAACGCAATATTGAATTGAAAACTATCATAAAAGTTTTAATTTAATTGGTATTTATATTTGCGACTGGTCAAAATCTAAGAAAATCTGTGAAATTAATTCAATCAAGTGTTTAGTAGGATTTCGCTTGCTACTAAACACAGTCACGATATGTTTTTTTCTCAAATAAAGAAGATTTTTATTTTATCGTACACACGGTGAGAAAACGCAAAATACAGTGTATGGTGACGCTATTTTTTACGTGCGCCACGTTCTATACATATAGTTATCTGGAGCTATGTATAAAAATAGTTCTCTCTCTACACCTCTATATAAAGATGATTTACAAACATTAAGCTATCAAAACTCAAACGAGTAAAATTTACAAATCCCATAAGATAATTATATTTACCAATACATGGAATTCCTATAAGTGCTCTCTGGGAGACATCTGTCACATCTGTTATTTTATTTATGTACTTATCATCTTAATTTTATATACCTATTTCGGTTTATCTGTTAATATATGAGTTATAAAATTAATTATATTCTTTATTATTATTATTTATACTTTTTTAGTTTAAAAAAACTATAGCAGTTTGTTAATAAGAATTACTTGTAATCTATGTTAGTAAAATAATAATCTAACACTTAACTATCAGACAAAAATAATATATCATTACAATTTTTTCCTCTCAAGTGCCTGCTGCAAAGGCTGATTAATAAGCCTTCAGCAGTCCCTCGATCTCGCTCGATATTATGTTCAACCTTTAATAAGGCTTTATTAAACACAATATAAGTAAAGTCTGAGCAATTGCTAACAAAATGTGTATTACTTCAGGCGTGTATTACACGATGGCAGTGGTGGGTCCAGCCATGGGCTACGTGCTGGGTGGGCAGATGCTGACCATTTACACTGATTTCTTGTCCACGGACGCCGGATCGTGAGTACAACCATAAAACAGCATGCTTTTGTCACAAAAAGTTTTGTATTGTCACGATGATGTATATATAATGTATGCACGTGATGTATGTATCTATATAATGACGTTGTTTGTTCCCATTTTAGATCCCACAGTGTCTACAAAATGTCGCTTTTTCCAAATATGTAACAACACGCTACATAGCTGCTATATATGTACATAGGTACGCGAAACAGCCAATTTGCATATGTAATGTATGGTTATGTTGTAACCTGTAACTGGTTGCATTACATTTTAATTTTCAATGACTTGACAGCAAAGTTGTTGTTGAAATTCTTCTAAAGGTTCGCAAGTTACATGTTAGATTTTTTGTCGTTTAAAATATAATATCCGCTTTGTAATTAAATGTTATTTCGAAAGGCGCTGAGGCTTAATATTCGGATGGCTGAGACCTCTTTATAAGCTATCAATATAAGCAAAAAAAACATTAAAAACAATAAAATGTGTGGCGTCGTGGGACACCGGATATGAACGAGGTTCCTTATTATAAAAATATTAATTTTAAATTCTATTCGAGGTATAAACAAAATAAAACTGAAGGTTTCGCAACAACCCACGGTCATTCGGTAACATGCGAACTTATTGTGGTACACTTCATTCACGGTTGTTTGCATAAGAGTTAGTGTATTGCGCAAACGAACGCTCTGAGATCGTGGTCAATGAATGATAAAAAAAAATGTTATTTTTTGTACGTTATTACAAAGTTAAGTCGTACAATGTGTGCATTACTAATAAAAATCTTACGTTACGGACGTTATTTCCCGGTTATGTTACCCCTCCGCATCGTCCCATAAGGAACTTCGTTCCAAAAGCGAACATTGAATATCTTATGTGACATTCAATCGATATCCTTAAAATCCATTAAAAACCAGACACGACAATTTAACTTTTTAATATATCAAGGCAAAGACCGACGCGGCTTCACCCTGGCTCGCTTTCATTCATCTCATTGTGAGTTGTATACGCTCAGGCAACTTTTCAGCCAAATTAATGCCACCGTTGAAGTTTTGTCTATGAAACCAGCAGGTAAAATATCAAAAGTTCAGTAATTCTTTTATCTATGGCTGTCATTATATCATTGCAATTACGATTCACTCTATTTAGTTATAAAGACTATCGTCTAACTCATGTTATTTTCGTTGTCATTACCAGCATACAAAAATACTTCTCTTTGCCTCTAGTAGGTACTATATATGGCTTTCACACAACATTAGGTTATATCTTAAAGATTGAGTAAGCAATCTCTAGAATGGCAGCGGAGTCAAAATATCTACACACTCAAACCTATTATTATGTACTTTGTAATTTGCAGGATCACTTTTAATGATAAGATATCGCATTGTGCATACCTATTGTGTCTTGTTTTATTTTGCATTAGTTATCTTATCGTATTCCCTGTTATGAAGAGTAAAATAAATAGCTCTTATTAGATAGGAGATAATACATGAATAAAAAAATCGCTATCGCTTTTATCTCTGCTGCACTTTATCCTAGTTTCGGAGCCCGACATCGACTTCATTGCTCGCGGAACGAAATGTGATTTAGCAGAGAATGAGTTTTCAACAACCTACTAAGGTTTCAGTTTTCTAAAACTTACAAGTGCCATATAAAAAATCGTTCCCTTCGAATTGATATCCGAAGCTCATTTCTCTGAGAAACCTTTGGATATTCACTTTACTATTACGAACACTTTGTTCAGGGTAGTTATCGGTGTTTTTAATAAGACTAGTGGTCCCTCTGTAGTCGAAATTCGACTATAATTAATTGAAATTATAAGCTTGGATATTATTATGGTTCTGTTGTCAAAAACTGTACTTCTACATTTAATCATATTAATCTATTCTATACGTGTTAAGTCAAATACATGGTAGTGTGTGTAATGTTTTCTTTATTGATTTAATTATTTTTTTAAGTATAATTAAAAAAAAAATAGCGTTCTGCACTTCTTGTCTATATTCTCTATAAGTGTGAGAAATTTCATACTCCTCCGTCCGCGCAATTTTCGTAAAAAGGGGTACAAATTTTCTGCTTTGCGTATTAATTTAGCGATATTGTTATAGTTGTATGTTTAAAAATGTCAATTGGTTATAATTTGGAAATTAGATATTAAAGACAAATCTAATGCTACGATTGGTGTTTGAATTCTGTCTTTACCTTAGACTTTCAAGCACGACTTTTTATTATTATTATTATTATTAATTAATTACTTTTAATAAATTATAATACTTTAAGGGATCTTCTTTTTATTGCCCTCGTAGTCAGACGAGCATAAGGCCACCATCAGTGAGTGGTTACCGTCGCTCCATGGCCTTCAGCAATGACAGGGGCATAGCCAAGCCGCTGCCTACCGTAGAATGAACCATAGAGTTTATTTTAATAACTCATTTCCGATTACCCTTATCCGTGCTCTCACTACTACATTGATGTGCTAACAAATTCGTAAAAGTAGTAGGGTAGCATCCTCTTAAGTCACGTGCGCTATTTCAATATCAATAACCAGTTAAAGTGCTTGCACTAAATAATTGACTAGGCAATTAAAACATTGCAAACATGCACTCAACTTTGAATATGTTGAACAATATCTTTATATGCAAAGTTAGTGATGAAGTACCCTTTTTGTAGGTACTCAACTGAACCTCACGGCTTCGCGGGTGCATTTCGTATGAACATTGTATTTGCATATGAAAACGTTTGAAATTATACGTACCGCTCACTACAGTTTCATATTTGAACGCACTGTAACTCATATAGATATTTTTTTTACTGCTTTTTAAAGGTAGAATAGCATTTATGGTGTAATCAAAAGAATTGTTTAGTTACTTCGGGATCAGACTAAGACAAAAATTGATTTTTGATCAATAAATATATCGATCAGGATCACCGACGTAAAAAAAATTGTTAATCTTCAAATTTTTTATTCAATTCAATTCTTCAATTCTTGAAGCGTGATATTGTTTTTAAAATAATGTAACCTCATAATTTGTGTAAAAACTATATACAGTAAAACTTGAAAAAATAGAAAAAAATAGAACATAGAAGAATCGATACTCTAGCGATTTTTGCAAAAAATACATCTGACTTTACGGATCTGATATCAAGAAATAAATTCATGACATTGCCAATAGACAAGCTCTTAAGACCCGCGATCTCACATAGTTTACAATTATATAGTAAAATTTTATAGTTTTATATTTTATCTGTTGTAATTTTTCATTCATCGTAATTATTTCATGGAACAGGTTAGGAATCACTCCTCAGAGCTCTGTCTGGATTGGTGCTTGGTGGATCGGGTTTATCCTATCAGCGTTGCTCTGTCTCATAGTGGCGGTACCACTGTTGGCGTTCCCCCACGAATTACCAGGTAATTTTGACTGGCAATTGGCAATTGATAAGGTCTACCTCTATATACAGGGTGTGTTACAAACTTTACCGAGTCGGGCATAAATTATTGTAGATGTTTTTAATCTACATTGAATGAATACCGAGCAAATACACGAGACAAGAACAAACTACTTATAATTATCATGTTATCTTCATATGTTTTGTCATGATGAGTTTGTGTAGCGAGAATGTTTAACTGATTGTAGAGGTGTACATTTAGATTTAGATGGCTGCTTATTCTCCAAATAAAAACAAAATACAACATAACTCTGATCCCGAACACCTTAATATCTCCTGGCTGAGCCCTTGCTCGTCCACCTGCCCTGGTAAAACTGGAAAGGCCTCCGAGCCACCAGTAATCTTTCAAACATAAAAAAAACCTTAATATCTTGATCATAGGTGGAATATAACGTAGAACAGAATTTGGTCCACATTGCGCGGTGGTCAAGATCACTAAACAATGATCACTTTTTTTTTTCTTTATTGATGCACAAAACAAATTACAACCATAAAAATTAAAAGTTTAAATATTTAATATAACAATCTGGATTGCAATTCAAAACAGGTGCATACAGAAAAATTATAACAACTGTACCGATGCCTAAATACCTTGTGTACATACATATGCTCACACACAGACACACACACACACAACTGCACGCACACGCCATCACCCACATATCATTAATTATGTAAGTTACTATCTAATTAAATTAAATCTAATGTATCATTAACAGGTCAATATTCATGTTAAATAGCATTATGTAATTATCGAAAAATTAATGACCAGGTGCATCAGAAATCAGAGCATCCAAAGTTTCCGAAGCGCACGAAGGAGCTGCATCTAAGTCAGCCGCTTTCAGCGCTTTGCACGAGCTGCCACAAGCCGCCGTGGCGCTGCTCAAGAACCCAACGTTTTTGTTCCTGAACCTGGCAGGAGCAAGCGAGGGCATGCTCATATCCGGTTTTGCTGCTTTCCTGCCGAAGCTGATTGAGAACCAGTTTGCGGTCTCGGCTTCCGAAGCTGCGTTGCTCTTAGGTTGGTATATTTGTGTGATTTTGATGAAGTCGTAGCTTAGAGAATAAGACGCCCGGTCGATTTTTATCGAGCGATGTGTTCGTGCCGGTGCTCGATTCCCGCGGGCAAGTACGAATGACTCCCACGATAATGGAATCTTCTTTTTCTCTTTCTCCACCTAGGTGGGGTCGGAACAGCGAATTTTTGTAATCCATTCTCTTCTATCAGCCGTCATCTCAACGCTCATCGTCTCTCTCTCATATCGTCATTCACACACTCCATCCATGTCTTCTTCGATCGACCTGTTCTCCCTATACCTTGCACTGCCATTTCCATACATTTCCTAGTCATATATATCACCTCTCTACGCATCACACGTCCATACCACGCTAACCGGAATAACGTCGTATAATGAAACCGAAACCTGTAAAATTCTATACGTGGATATTTTATTGGTAGTAACAGTAAGGTACGGGTAGTTACTAACGTTCTACGTATTTCTGTTGTGAAGCAGTCTCACAGTCAGCTTTCAAGGGTGGGACAGCTGCTAAACAATACCACTTTAGTAGTAGATGATGGCACTTGTATTTTCTGGTTCATGGGCTCTGGGGCCACGTTTTTACTAGTGGTAGGACCTCTTGTGAGTCCGCACGGGTAGGTACCACCACCGTGCCTGTTTCTGCGTGAAGCAGTAATGCGTTTCGGTTTGAAGGGTGGGGCAGCCGTTGTAACTTGAGACCTTAGAACGTATATCTTAAGGTTTATATTATAGGCGCATTTACGTTGTAGATGTCTATGGGCTCCAGTAACACCAGGTGGGCTGTGAGCTTGTCCATTCATATAAGCAATAAAAAAAGAAATGCGCCCTTAGATAGCAACCAGCCGCACATTCCTTACGTCCTCTATACACGGCGTGTCCCAGGTCTGATAACGGTCCCAGCGGGCGGCGGCGGCACGTTCCTGGGCGGCTGGCTGGTGAAGCGGCTCGAGCTGGCGTGCGCCGGCATCATCAAGCTGTGCATCGGCGCGACCCTCGTGGCAGCCGCCTTCACCTTCTGCTTCGTGCTGTCCTGCGACGACTACCCCTTCGCGGGACTCACGGTGCCCTACGACAGCCCAGCCGTGCCAGGGTCAGTGTACCAGCTGTGGTGCTTCAGCGTCATAGAGCAATAATGAAACTGTGCGAATTTAATAATCATAGAATTGTGATATGTTTGTAGTTTTACAAGCGAGGGCTAGTGGAGCCGCTTTTTTTAAATTTAATCACCGGTAGTCTCAAGCGGCTATCCCAACTTTTTGGGACTGGAAAAACCATTATTATTATCTCACCAGTAAATAGCATCTGACTTGTTTATTTAAACTTAATTATAAGTTGTAAGAAGAACACAAGCAAAACAGAAGCAAAAGGAAGAAGAATTAGCTTTTACTTGTAAGTTTGATACAGACAGAAGAAGGTAGTCTAATAAGTCTAAGTCTAAAAGGAAGGTACCAATAATCTTTAAAAACAAATGATACGGGCGTTCGGAATCAAGTGAATTCAAGTCAAGTGCTACAGACCTCCGAATCCTGGTTAACAGAAAATGGGTACATATCTGTCGAGCTCACGGCTTGGGCCCGTGCCGTCAAGCCGCCTGACCCGGTCCCGCTCGGTGCGCAGGTCGGACGGGCTGCTGGCGGACTGCAACTCGGGCTGCTCGTGCCCGCGCTGGCGCTACTCGCCCGTGTGCGGCGCGGACGGCGCGGTGTACTACTCGGCGTGCCACGCGGCGTGCACGGCGCGGCGCCTGCGCGGGCGGGGGGGCGCGGGGGGCGCCGTGCTGTACCGGGACTGCGCCTGCATCCGCACCAATGCCACGCTGCCACTCTACTACGCGCCAGGCGGAGGTACGCGGCCAAACGAACATTCTAGCTTTGTTAAAATAGCTATCGGTCAACGACATAAACTAATGAAGCAATCACTTAAAAGAACCTAACGTTCTGTTGCTGTGTCCTACTCGGCCAAGGTACACTATAAGCAAAACTACTTCTCTTCAACGGATTTTTTACTTATCTATCTTCTATCTCTTCTCTACTTATATATATAAAAATGAATTGCTGTTCGTTAGTCTCGCTAAAACTCGAGAACGGCTGAACCGATTTGGCTAATTTTGGTCTTGAATTATTTGTGGAAGTCCAGAGAAGGTTTAAAAGGTAGATAAATATGAAAATTCTCAGAATAAAATAAAAATAACTTTTGTTTTTCCTTTGATGTGTCTCCAGTCGGACAGATTCCTTTTGTTTGTTTTAAGTTTATTTTATACCAAAGTTTTGGTATTTTATTTATCGATTGAGGCACTACGGAGTCTGCCGGGTCAGCTTGTAGAATATATTTTTCGAGAAAATATACTTTGTCATTGAGCACCTGCCGACGGGACCTGCAACCGAGCCTTACTTGCATGTACCTTCGACACGTACAATATCCGGTTAGGGTCCATGCGATCCCGGCTGAATTTCTCGGGGATGCCGGCCATCTTATCAAAAGACAGACTACATCTGAATGTCATGTTGAAAACAACATGACATTCAGATGTAGGTTAACGAGCAAGCCCCAACTTAAACCTGTCCTCTGCACTTAGAGGGCGCCTCCGCCGAGAGCTACGAGGCCATAAACAGCATCTGCAGCACGGACTGCCCGTTCCTGTGGCTGTTCGTGGCGCTGTCGTTCTGCGTGATGCTGTGCACGTTCCTGGCCACCATGCCGGCGCTGTCCGCCACGCTGCGGTGAGACCGACCACGCCGCCCCCTCGGGAAATAGACACGTCATTTCGGATCCTCGCGATCCACTAACGGTGCCTTTAGGTACCTCAAGCCCAGGTCATCATTCTCGTCGAACCTGTCGCTTGCGACGAAGAGCACGACGAGCAAATTAACCCCCAGACTCAGCCCACTGAGTTTCTCGCCGGATCTTCTCAGTGGGTCGCGTTTCCGACCCGGTGGTAGATTCTGCGAAGCACTGCTCTTGCTAAGGTTCGTGTTAGCAACGTCGTCAGGTTTGAGCCCCGTAAGATCACCTACTAGTTAAGATTACGCTGAAATAGCCTCTCAAGGCTATTATTAGCTTAGGTAGGTAAAAAAGGGAACTAGTAGGTACTGCTGACTACTTATTACCATTTTAATGCACGTGAGATTATCACAACGCAAAAAAGCAACACATGTCCACTGTGAATCATTTTCATTATGTGAATGTGATATTAATAGAATTTATTTTAATCATTCTGCTCTGCTGCCTAATTGTGAAATTGTGGTCTTTAGATAAAAAAGATGTGTGGTGTCGTGGGATACCGGATAAAGAAAATAATTATTAGGGTATACATTTTTTATTATGATTTTTTTATAGATAAAAAAAAATACTTTACAAAGTTATCAACTTTATTTTACTCACAATGATTTATACAAAATATATAATAAAAATATTTTATTTTTTGTGCGTTATTACAAATTTAAGTCGTACACTATGTGCATTACTAATAAAAATCTTACGTTACGGACGTTTTTTTCCGGTTACCCCTCCGCATCATCCCATAAGGAGCTTCGTTTCAAAGCAATTTGTAGACTTATTTCTGTAGACATTAGACTTATCTGGTTGTGGTATAGCCCGGTTTGACCCCGATCCTCGCTCTTATCCCAGGTGCGTGCGTGAGGACCAGAGATCGTTCGCGCTGGGCATACAGTGGATCAAGGTCCGGCTGCTGGGGACCATCCCGGCCCCCCTGCTGTTCGGGTTCCTCATAGACGCGTCGTGTGCCCTGTGGGCCGCGTCCTGCGGCGCCTCGGGGGCCTGCGTGCAGTACCGCAACGCCGACATGAGCAAGTCAGTCTTTACTTGGATAATCTATATATTAATACGTGAAGCAAAACACTTTGTACCCCTTTTTACGAAAATTGCGCGGACGGAGGAGTATGAAATTTCTCACACTTATAAAGAATATAGAGAAGGAGTGTAGAATGTTAATAATTTTTAATTATGCATAAAAAATACATTAAGTCAATTAAAAAAAACATTACACGCACTGCCATGTATTTGACACACACACACATGGATACTATTGGTTTATTGTCAAACTTTTTTTTTGCTTATAGTCTATGGTCAAATTGAAAATTAAATATTGTTTGTCTTTGTTAATATTTGTCTACAGTGTAGTCTTGGTGAAATCTGTGATTATAGAAGTATAATAAATAGTCTTTGACAATAGAACCCTAATAATGTTCAAACTTATAATTTCAATTAATTGTAGTCGAATTTCGACTACTGCGGGACCCCTAGTTATTTTAGAAATACTAATTCCGTATATTTGTAAGCCGAATTTCGACTACTGCGGGGCCACTACTTAATTTAGAAATATTAATTCCATACATATTTTTGTAATAAAGGTAGTTGCTAGACCACACTCACATTAAACAACATACCTATTCCACCATCATTTCGCGTCAGTTATACCTAAGTCAACTAGGGGCCTTCGTCCATTTTTAAATAAAGCGCATACTTTTATCTTTATGGTATGCGCTTTAATGTTTAAAGTATTAAAATCGAAACTATAAAAATTAAAGTTCTTTAATTACATTTTTGACGTTTACCAAGAAACCAGAACTTTTGATTAAGCCACTTCAATTCTAAAGGTGCGATGTATGAAATTAAAAATAGTTTTTTAGTTGGAAACAATCTATTTATTTATTGTCATTTTTATTTCGTTCACAGATACATGTTAGCTTTAGCGCTGGCGGGCAAGCTCTGTTCTCTTCTCTTCTTCTCGCTGGCGTGGTGGTTCTACCGGCCACCCAGCAGTGGGAGCAGCAACGCGGTCATACCCTCGGTGGACCTGGTCGTCTGCGACAAGGTCAACGGGTCCGCCGCCGGTGCCCGTGGAATCGTGCAAAACGGGACTCTGGACAAGGCTAATGGTTATTGCAACGCCGCCCTGGAGTGCAGTGATCATTTGTGAACTGGGTTCAGTGTCCACACCAGCCCTGGCTGCGGGTCGGCCGCGGAGTGCCCTCGTGTGCTAGTCTGCGCTGGTTCGACCCTGGACACCACCATCACCATGCCCATCTGAGCATAGAGACTCACCGTCGCTCAAAGACGACAACAACCGTAGGACACGCTTGAGGAACCATCTCGGATGATTTTGAACAGGACTCGGGAACGATAATGAACCGTAACGACTAGTCTACAAGGTACCCTTTACAGAGTACCAATGAGCACGGTACTGAGCGAGCTAGGTCTACAGTAAATATCGTCTGCTCAAGTTCAGTACGCACAAATGATAGGACATTTCGTGAATTAGCAATTAATCTATCACATATTCGGGTTTGTAATATTAAAGTATATTTAAGACTAATTATAAATAATAAAACAGCTACCAAAAAAAAACTAGGTACATAGTGAATATCTAAAGAATGTACAAGTGACGAAAAGTCAAAATTTGACGCGACTGACTCCGATCTGCTTATTTGTAACCGACTTAAAAAATGAGGATTTTCTCAATTTGACTGGTTTTTTATGTGTGTGTCACCGCAAAACTTATCGTAGGTGAATCAACATTGATTAATCTTTTCTTCTTTCTTTTTTAAAAGTTAGTGCTTCTCACATGGTCCCATTTAAGTTTTATGAAGATCCGACCAATAAATAGCCTATGAGTTATCCTTAATAACACACATTGAACTGTCTACGACTAAATTGATGATATTAATTTTATTTTTATTTTAATGAAATTCTTTATTTGTACTATAGCAATTTTCCAAGGTCTTTTTTATTTTCTCTGTATAATTTCGATTCAATTATAGGTATAATCATAATTGAAAGTATAATAATAAACACACAGCCACTGGGCTGGGCACAGTATGTATACAGGGTTACAGGTTTAGTCGACCTATTCCCGTTAAGAGCGTGTAGCTTACATCGTTTCTGACTGATTTGACTGTGAAACACCCTACCCTAAATCTAACCGATCTGGAGATATTTCAATTTAATTGTTTTTTATAAAAAATACCTGATACCACGTATTGAATCAGATTGAGTGGCAAATCATCTAATAGGTCATTTAGGTCTCCTCGCAGGAAATGTTCATAGTATACCTCATTTAAATTGTCGGGGAGAAAGTAAGGCCCAATCAAATGATTGGAAATAATGCCCATCCACACATTCAGGCTGTCTGGCTCGCACGCACTGCAATAACATTGAAGGACAATTGGCGAGGGATTGTTAGTACTGCTACCCGGGGGCTCGCAACTAAATATTTTCTATGATGTTTTATATATACCCTAAATTGCTATACCTCGTTGGATAGCTGATGAAACGTAGATATTGTTAAGCACATCTGCCAAACAGGCGCCATAATATTTTTTTAAGATATCCTTGAAAGAAAAATAATCTTTCTAATTTTTTATAAGTTTTAATCGTCTAAAACGACTTGTTTATTCATTTTACGTACAATATTGGTCATTGGGGTCATACAGCATCTTATTTTACAAGTAAAAATCAAGTAATAATAATAATAAGACTTACGCATTTCAAAATATCTAAGCTTATAGTCGAAATTCGGGTATTTTTTATAAAAAACAATTAAATTGAAATATCTCCAGATCGCTTAGATTTATGGTAGGGTGTTTCACAGTCAAATCAGTCAGAAACGATGTAAGCTACACGCTCTTAACGGGAATAGGTCGACTTAACCTGTAACCCTGTAGGTATATAGGTCATGAGGCAGGCAACACATATTATTTTAATGAAGGCAATTTCAACAACCGGCCAATCTCGGCCATAGACCATACACTGAATACATATTGTGTGTGTGTGTGTGTGTGTGTGTGTGTGTGTGTGTGTCGGAACAACCTTTCTAATATTTTTAAACACGTAATTCGAGTAATTAATGTGTCCTAGAATGATTTCGAAATTGTGAAATAAACACTCAAACACAAAATTAACAAATAGCGCTGCCTGTTTCTGCGAAGGTCTCACGTGTTCCGGCTTGAAGGGGAAGAGACGTAGACCTCATATCTCAGAGGCGGCGTACAATATGTGATGTCCACGGACTTCACTTAATTAATCTACAGATTGTTAGCAAATAAGAGTAGATAAAGCACACGGAACGCTGATGTGATCTCTATGGATTCTGAAGTTGAATGCTCATCGTTGATAACAGTTGACAGTCGAGCGCTGCTGTCCCGGGGCTCGGCCTGTGACGTCACACACATTGTTTTTAATGAAAGATTCGTTGTCCAACCTGGTTTGTACAGAATGTGAAGTTTCGCATTAACTGTAAGTAATGTAGCTGCGGTTACTATTCGCATAATACCTAGTCAGGTCATAAATTCTGTCACATGTTTAATGTAAAATAATTGAAACAAGTTTATTTATTATGTAACCATTCATATACCAAAATGAACTTAACAAAGCATAGATTCTTATGACACTAAAGTTTATTCAAAATGACCTCCGTGATTTTGAATACAGGCCTTCAATCTGCGCGGCCAGTCGTCTATCGCAGCACGAACGAGGTCCATGTCAATATCGGCGGCTGCCTTAATCAAGGATGTCTTGAATGACTCCAAATTGGGATGAGGCTTTGAGCACGCCTTTTCCTCCAAGTGTTGCCATATCTTGTAATCTAACGGATTCAAATCTGGACTGGAGGAGGGCCAGTCTTCGTGCCGGATGAAGTCGATTTCACGCGCCGCCAGCCAGTCTTGTGTGCTCTTCGCTCTATGAGCTGGCGCCGAATCTTGTTGGAATACCCAGTGCCTGTTATTGAACATGGTATGAGAAACAGGTTCCACAAGGTTCGTCAGGACTGTATTTTGATACACAACTGCATTCGTTTTTACACCTTTCTCACAAAAATGTACCTCTGTTAAGCCCCAATAAGAAACTCCCAACCATACCATGAGCGAGGATGGAAAATGACCTCGTTGGACACGCGGAATACGGTTGCTCGCTTCTTCACTACTGTGTGCGTACACCTTATCATTTTGTTTGTTGTAGCTCTCTTCTACGGTAAAAATTTTTTCATCCGAAAAAAGAATTTCCCGATATTTTTTTCCCGCGTACCGCTTCAACAAAGCGCGGCATCTCTTCAGTCTCAGGTCCATTAGACGAGCATTCAAACGATGTCCTGTTTTTCTCCGATATGCCCGAAGCCCTAAGTCTTCATTTAACACCCTTTTCACCGTGGTTCTGCTTAACCCCATCTGAAGGGCTAACAGTTTCTGCTTACGTTTGGGATTTCTTTGAATTCGCGCCTTCACGGCTTTTATCCCTGCTGGAGTCTTAACAGACCGAGGGCGATCACTTCTTGACCTGTCATCTACACTAGAGTCTTCATTGTATCGTTTGATGGTACGATAAACGAATCTTTTGGCTATATTTAAATTTTTCAGTATGTTAAAAATTTGAATTGGCGCGTAACCGCAACGATGCAACGCAATAACTGCAACACGGTCTTCTTTAAGCGTCCACTCCATATTTAAAAATGAGTAAAATTCTAAAAGTATACATTTTTATTTTCTTGAAAAATTCAAAATTTGAATTTAATAAACTTTTTTGTGGCCAGCATTCTAAAAGAAAAGTTTTTACTGTGTGACAATACTTATAACCTGACTAGTTATTTCTTTAGAGATGATTAAGTATCCCCCTATAACGCGGTATCCTTATAACGCGTTTTCATATTACGCGATTTCAATCCTGCGTATAACATTACGTGGGGTTTTCCGAAATACATATTTGTGTACTGTGAAGTTTAAAATAATTTGTGCAGTCCATTATTAGCTTCGCGTACCTTTGCACGTGTGTCAATTGTGTTATTACAAAATTAAATTATTTTATTAAATTTGCGTATTCAAAGGTGTACCTAGGTAAAATTTTATCTTTATAAATATTATCTATCTATATATATAAAAATGAATTGCTGTTCGTTAGTCTCGCTAAAACACGAGAACGGCTGGACCGATTTGGTTAATTTATATCTTGAATGATTTGTGGAAGTCCAGGGAAGGTTTAAAAGGTAAATAAATATGAAAATGCTCGGAATTAAATAAAAATATGATGTGCCCCCGTCGGATGGATTCCTTTTGTTTGTTTTATGTTTATTTTATACAAAAGTTTAGGTTTTTTATTTATCGATTGAGGCACTACGAAGTCTGCCGGGTCAGCTAGTTTAAAATAAAATAAAATTACCATTATACAAGGCGTTCCTATATAAATAAAGCGTTATACAAGGTCGTAAAAACGCGTTATATGGGAATACTTATATAACGCGGAACCAATCTACCGCGTTATACGGAAGATTACTGTATTATAGTACCTACACGTCGTATTGTGTTAGATAATAGTTATGTCAAGTACAATAATTGTTAAGGCACGATTTTTCGAAATGTTTTGAAACACATTCCTTGTAAGTATTTTGCTAAACATAGCAATTCCTAAACATCACTTTTACATTTGTAAATAGTTAGGTAATTAAACTATATTAACTAAGTAATTAATTTATTCGTAGATTTTTTTATGAACTTGTACTGTAGTTACTGTATTGTATTAATTTTTTTTGTAAAATTTTGGTTGAAGACTGATTGTTTAGTGATATGTATTGAAATAAATGTATTGAATGGCAGATGTGGTTTTATTAATGGAATAATAATTAAATATACGCTTTTTAATCTTGCATTGTTCGAATATACAGATAGAACAGTTTCATAGCTCAATACGGTGGTCCATAAAGGTCTATGAGTTCCAGTATTAGGCGGAACAACTTGAGATGATTAATATCAACACTAAAATGAGGTGCTTTACGAATAAAACAACACAACATTTTTAAAATACATCAATATATTAACATCGAAAATATCACTTAAAAATGCCTATTACATCCATAGATAATAAAATGTACTTATCCTAAGAAAAAAGCAGTAAGGCCGAGAACATAGCAAAGGCCGCCAATAAATAGTCTATTGTACATATTTATTTCATTAAAATACATGACGGGTAATTTTTTTTTTATTCGGCAATCAAAACGGCTATTGTAAAATGTAGATGACATATAGTTTTTGTATATTTTGAAAAAAAAAAAAATTGAGAAGCAATAAGCCTGTGTTATTAAACATCCATATTACAGACAGACTACCCAGCGAGACAAGCATTGTATTAATTAAGTTTATTATGACATCCAAAAACAAAACTCATACTCTATTTAAAGTAATTTTACAGTTTAATCTCGCTTTTATTATTTAAGACGTTTCGTGGTCACTACGGACCAGGAAATATTTTGCAACTACCGTCTAATTGTATTAAGCCGTAAAAGTATCTCATTATGTTCACGGCTTGCGAAAATTGAAGTATATATTTTCATATAAAATTAGCCCATGTACAGGCTGCCGTCCGAACAATACAGATTTGTACGAAGTTAAAATTAATTTCGCCGTTATGAATGCCAAGTGTTATAGTAATTTACAGACCCTACTCTGAAAATTAACAGCCTGAAAATATTTTTGTACCGTGATGCATTTTTTTATGTTATGGCAATACTAGAAAGGCTATTTGTGCATTCCGAAACGTCCCGTTACACAGATAACCTTAATTTTTACGTTTTTAAATAACTCTAATTATTCGGTACATTAACTGTGAACTGATGACCACACAATCAGGAAACATGTTTATCAATAATATATGTATTTTTTTATATTGTATTTCTACTAAAAATTGCACACTAAAATTTATCCTACAAGATCTTGTTATATTTGTTTATTAAAATCTTCTAAGTGAATTTAAACTATTATGAATGACCAGAAATCTAATCTTACAATGTAACATCAAATAATTTTAACATATTATGTGTTTTAACACAATCGCTATTACATAATATTCATTAAACATTAATTAATATTAATAATTTATCTAACACACACATATGAAACTACATTATTATTTATAAATTGTAAGAACTAGACCATCAAAAAAATTTGAATACACCATTAGTTNACTATTATGAATGACCAGAAATCTAATCTTACAATGTAACATCAAATAATTTTAACATATTATGTGTTTTAACACAATCGCTATTACATAATATTCATTAAACATTAATTAATATTAATAATTTATCTAACACACACATATGAAACTACATTATTATTTATAAATTGTAAGAACTAGACCATCAAAAAAATTTGAATACACCATTAGTTTATGATTGTAATAAAATATGTAATAACATTGAAAATTATTTTGTATAATGACTACCTATGTGTAGGTAAGATGAGACGACAATATAAATGCACTTTCCCTATTTTAAATTAAAAGAAAATATTTATTTACACATTCCAGTATACAAGTTTTAAATTACACATGTCACTTAAAAAAAGTCAATTTATTAATACATAATTATATGAGCACAGATAATATGTTTAATATTCTCTATGCAATTTTGTTAATGGTAATGTCCGTGAAAATGCTCCAATCCGAACACAATAGCTTTGGCAGAATGAGTTCATGGCTTTAAACAAATCCCCTAGTTATGATTCCATGAGTTACACATGATCTTACCAGCTACATGAGGCTGACGTGGCTGTAAAAAGTCCCCTAGCTATGACCTTTGCTGGATCCATGCTGCAGTTCCGTTCTCGTCCTTAATATGTTCATTTAAAAGAACTTTACACCCTGGTTGTCATCAAATTCCATGAGTTCGCATCGACCTTTGGCTTCCAGTGACTTTAATGCTTTGACCAGGACATTCATATCAAGGTTATGAAATTCTGAAATATTACAACAACTCTTAATAACATATAAAATCAATTTTATTTTGGGATGAAATTATGTATGGGGGATCCTTGAATTATGAAATGAATGATCATTTTAAGGTATTTATGAGATAATTTACAGCCTGATTATAATTTTATTTGGTTAAGAAAATGTTTAAATAAACAAATGATACTATACAGTGTTAGGCGATTACCAGATGATATCCTACCTTGGTCAGCGGTATTATCTCCTTCTCTCAGCTCAAACAGTGTACAAACTGAATTATTAAACCCATTATTACATGCCCAGTTGTAAATCATATTTCCCCACTCATCCAGCGAGTGCCAATATACCTCCCACACGTTTTTGCTCTTGTCAATGGGAGCGGCCTTGCCAGCCTTAGCCATGTCCTCCAATATTGTTAAAATAGCTTCCTGAGACAATTTTCTATTAATTTCTATGTTATTGAAAAGCGGTGTGTTTGATGCCTCCCTGATATCTATTGTAGATTGTTTTGTTGCCTTCAAATAATCTGTTATTAATTGTTCCCATGCTTCTAGTTGTTTAGATCTTGTCTCAGTGTGCGGTTGGATTCTGTAACAAAATGAACCTATTTCTAATTGTCTGCATTATTTATGTTTCAAATATAATTTATTTGATACTTATTATCTATATTATAATGTGAATACTAAAAAAGTTAAAAATAATAATTGGGTTCTATCTTGAGGTAAGGTTGACACTTAATTTTTATTATCTGTGTCCTAAGCCTTTTGCTATTTTATTACCTGTAACACAATAAATAAAAATCTTAACTTTAACAAATAAACATAGGATGAAAATTAAAAAGCCAATTGCATTCAGAGCAAATCAATTTAAAAATGTTTTACATGGAAAAGCCAACAATAACAAGGGAACTAATGGACATTTGTGGAAATTAATAGTACTTACACTTTCACTCATTTCTGTTTCATATACCTCTGGTATATCTCAATCATTTCACTTTCAGTCTCTTTTCGTTTAACTAAGTTTTTAATAGATTTTGGTTCCAGATCTGTCACAGAAACTCTGTACATTATCTTGTGTTCCTTCTTTTGGACACACGGAATGTTCTCCACATAGTTTGGAGAAAAGCTGATCATTATAGAGCAGTCTCTTGCCACGGCAGCTATCAATGCCCTATGTACAGGCTCCAAATTTTTAAAGAAGTGCTCTTTGTCTTTGGCTTCACCGAGATTCAGATTAGCAGCATTTTCTATTATCATCGAGACATATCCTCCATCTTCATGTTTCAAATAATTTGTTACGTCAAAATTAACACTGTCCCCAAGCTTCTGAAGCTCTAGCAGTTTGTACAGGAATGTGTTGGAAGTCAAAATGGAATCATCGACACATTCATTCCTTTTTTGTATTTTGAAATATTTAACACTAGCTTTAGTTTCTTTGAGGTCTAAATCTGAACTAAAATCATCAGCCAGTAACAATTGTATGATGAAATTTAAAAATCCATCAGTCGTGCCAAAGATATTTATTCTTTCAATTATATTATGAAAAGTCTTCAAATCTGATTTATCATCATAAATGACCACACCATTCTTAAAAAGTTTGAAATTGTTCTGAGGGTTTTCTATGAGATGGAGTAGAGCATCGCGCATTCTGTATTTATCTCCGGAGAACAGATCTAATGGACAATATGAACTGTGTTTCTCAACTTTATTTGTCTCTACTTTCAAGTATTGTTTTAGACAAAAGTAGCATTTAGAATGAGCACAGAGCGATTTGGATATGAAACCTTCCTTCGGTTTGATTTCGACGCAGTAGTTGGTCTCGCACAGCGGACTGACCAGGGCAAGATTCGGTGCTCTAATTGCATACTGACTAAGAATGGACTTGAAGTGTCTGTGAGTGGGTCGAATGTGATAAAGGGCGTGGCTCAATCTGCTCGCTTCCTCTTCTGCCATAGTCACAATGACCTCTTTGCATTGAAAATTGTTATTTAACAGCGGTATCATGACTAAATTTACGAAATTCACTGAATCTCGGACGTCATTCACGTTTATCTGCTGCCCGTCTTGTTTGATGAGCCGCAGAACATAATCAGTTCCGACAACTTCTAGAACGATATGGACGTTCCCTTCGTTGATGTATTTGCATTGTTTCCCGAACACCTCCATGGCTAGTGAATACGTACCAAGGTGTGTTAGCAATAAATGTGATTTACTTACGTAAAGAACGGGGGAAAGTTATACTGCCAAGGCCACGATATTTCTGCCATACTCGTGAAACACAGCCGAATAATTATAAAAGACTAATGAAGATTTTTAACTACACAAAAATGCTTGTAATTTTCCAGCTGTTTTCACGACTTGACAAAATTGACTTGATGTTCGTGAAAAGTCGATTGTCGATACTTGGTGTCGTTGACCTCTTTGATCACAGACAAACTTTTTTTTTCAGGCAGTAGTATTTCAGCCATTTAGCATTAATATGTCAGTGAAAATGAACTAACCAAATTATTAAATGTGATATTTAAATTTTTATATTTTTTATATAGGACATAACTTTAAGATATACATAACTAGAGGAATAAATCACATGAATTACAAAATGTCTCTAGATTTTTACCATTCACGAAAACCGAGGACTAGTTTTGTTCAAGTTGCTTAAGTCATCTGCCAAAATAAGGATTGTCACTATTTGTCAATATCTTGGCTATTGAAGGAATTTGCGAGTTTCGAGATTGTATCGAATTTACATTTAATTTGAATTTTACCTTGAATTTTATACATTACAGACACAATTTGATATGTTACTTTCTTTTGAATGACTATTATTTGAAGTCCCAAAATGATAACCCTTAATAGGAAACTTAAAAAGGAGCATTCTCCTCCTACAATAGGCCTGACCACGGAGCCAGTTAAAAGGATATCAATACGAGATAAATTGTTAGTAAAAGAAGTACAGGAGATGGAAGAGAACCTTCCAGCAACTTGTAGCGTGAAGTTCGAAGACCCAAATCTGCTTAGTGAATTCATATTAACAGTAGCTCCTGATGAGGGGTATTGGAAAGGTGGTAAATTTAAGTTTAGTGTCATTATAACTGAAGAATATAATATGGCTGTAAGTATGAATATTCGAATACTTGTTGAATTTTTTCAACATCATTTTTCATTCATACTAGTTTTGTAATTAATATATTTAAGTTTAAAGTTGGATGTCCACTACTTTAATCTTTGCCCTTTGATGATAACGCTTCTTCCCCAATTAATATGAACTTAATATAATAATATAATGCATGCATGAACCTCCCTTTTTTCTCAGAATAACATAAAAAAGAATAACAAAAACATTCTCTTATGATTTGCTTTCATTGTGTGATTTTATTTTGATTTTGTACAATTTTCACGGATCTCACTACCTGACATTGTCAGAGTTGTGCTTTGAAAAAGTTTAACAATGAAATTACCAATAAAGTCACAATTCAATGTTGTCATCCAAGTTATCTACGGAGTAAATTCCGAGGAGTAATAAAAAAATATAAAATGCATCAATAATAATGTACTAAAAATAAATTTAAACTAGTTATTTCATGTGTCATTTCAGCCACCAAGAGTGAAGTGTTTAACAAAATTATGGCATCCTAATATTAATGTAGATGGAGACATCTGTTTGTCATTACTGAGACAGACTTCTATTGATGAGCATGGCTGGGCACCTACCAGGAGGCTCAAAGATGTTGTATGGGGCTTGAACTCACTTTTTACGGTTAGTGATTTGTTTATCCTATAACATATATCCTACAAAGTGTATCACAAATTTCTATGCATGCTGATAGACTGGGCACTCCTTAGAGGAAAGCTATTAAATATATCTCTCTCTTAGTTATAATGTTGGTCTTTGGCGAGGATAGAACAATGTAATAGCAAAATTTAGTTGATGCCCTGCTACTGATTAGCATTTACATTACCTTATTTTACAAGTCAAACTGTATAGTGTTAACATTGAAATAATGTTAGGAGTCATGACATAGAATTGAAAAAGATGTCAAGTTTTCCATGATTTTATTTAGATGGATGCTAGACATCTGATGGTAGCCAACAGTATATTGCAAGTGCACATAGGTAGTTTCCACCACCCTGCCCATCTCTGTTGCGGAACAGTCAAGCGTTGGGACTGCTTTTATACAACTAAGGCACTGCTGCTTTTATGCACCTTATGTTTCAAATTGGGTGACGGTATTCATACTGTGACATTTATGAATCCTGCCGTCCATAGAAAAACAAGAGGGTCTTGAGCTGGTTCACACATCTAGACAATAAGAAAAAGGAAAAACTTGTAATTAAGGATTGTTTGCCTTCAATTTAAATATACTTAAAAAAAATGTTTGTTTATTTTTAGGATCTGCTTAACTTTGATGACCCGTTAAACATAGAAGCAGCTGAAATGTACAACAAGGACAAAGTTAAATTTCAGGTTAAGGTACAGGAATATATTTCAAAGGGGAAAAGATGAAACAGGTTTAAACAGTGTTGCAACCCACTTCACTTCACTTCTGATTAGCTCAAACGAAAAAGTTTTTGTGTCCAAAAATGTACTTTGAAGTAGGGTTGAATTTAGGCTTTTACCATATATGAAAATTTAGGTTTATCATAGCGCTCAGAACAAACAATCATAATGATTTAATTACATTTATGTCTGTTACTATGTTTATTTTAATAAAGATTGGACTTAAATACTGATGTTAAGATTAATTTTTAATGTGTTATGGGTGTAATTTCTAGTAAAAAGCTTAACATATTATTGAAGTAATAAAACATTACTATTCAGTGTTGCATGTCTGTGAAGAGTCAAGATATGTAGATAGTTAAAATTAATGATCATTTCTCTGATTAACTCTTTCTGATTTTGTCATTCAAGCCTGAACTATATTTAGACTTAATCTATATTTGATACTGCTATTTATGACCTTTCTCTGTACCCTGCCTGCCATGATTGCACAATGTAATAAAATTTGTAGCCAAACTGGTTATGCAACCACACCACCAGTCTTTGGAAAAAAAAAAATCATTTCTAAAGCCATAATTTATGTTGGCAACTACAAAATTGTGACCATGGGTGTTTGCAGTAGATAATAAATTTAGACAACTCTGATATATCTTTTGGTCTGTTGCATTTATTCTATCTATTTTCATGACTCTTCCTTCAGTAACTTTCATTATAATGACACAGTAATTGCTGCGTCTCTTTTGTCCTATAATAAGGTATTAAAGCTTGTTGTGATTCATTTACTTGGTTTATGGTAATTGAATTATTACTAAAATTGTGCTGCTTATTTTTTATTGTGCTATATTGTGCCAAAAAGCTTCCACAATAGTTTTAATTGTATAAATTGTGTTGTAAACTGTCTATTGTATCATGCGATATTCACACTATGTTTAGTCTACCTCTTCGAATGTACTGCCCTATTTATAATTATTTCAATGACCTGGTGTAAATAGGCTTTTAAGCAAATCGAGTTAAACATGGAAAAACAAAAAAAGTCGCGTCACAAAGTTTTTTAGTTGATTTGTCTCTAATATTGATGACATTATCTGTGGGTTTCGTCAGAAAACTTACAATTTGTTTGAAGTGAATATAATCTTCATTATGATCGAAATATTTTGAGACTTTTCGATGGTATTTCGTCGGTCAATGTCAAATTATATTATTATAAATTAACATTGGATCAAGTTTAAAAGCACATTTAAGATTTGTTGTTTATTTATACATCTAACAAAAACATTTCAAACTTTTAGAGTTGTGTTAAACATGTTAGACTATTATGTGTGATTTAAAAACATTTCATGCAGTTAATATAATCGGATGAATTTAAATTACATACATTATTGATGAAAAATTGCTTAATTTTATTGAAAATTCAGACATTCAGTCTTGTTATTGTGAACATTTTTTTTAGTAGCATCAGGTAGGCTTAGGAGTTTTCTTGTAAAATGGTACCACGCATATAAATAAGTGTATTAAATATCTTTATATAGAAAATAATATAAAATTTGAAATGAATGAATATTGTATTAATAGGGATGTTGCATGCTTTCGATTGTACAATATTTCATCTCTTTCTCTCTCCCCTTTCTTGTGATGTCATGAGCATGTGCATCTTAATTGACAATTGGGTTTGACAAATAACTCATCAAGTTTGAGAACTTTCTAACTTTGTTAATAAACGAACTGATAATTTTGTTGCTTTGGATAATTTTATTATGGAGTATTGTAAAAAGATAATAGCATCCTTGTTAATATTTACGATTTGAAGAGACGAAGAAGCAATGTAGACAGATTCCTAATTGTAAATCCTAAATGTTTGGTCAAATGTATTATCTATGATATTTGGTGAGTAATATAGAGAATTTATTCTAGTTTTAAGTTTTAATAAATAAAAGGCAAAGAGTGACTATTATTGTCTATGGCTTCCTGTTGTGTCCTGGTTTTTTAGAGGGTGTCTGAAGAGTGATGCAGTGAGAAATTTTATTGGTTTGGTAAGTTAGTGATTATTAAGGTTTCAATGTATAATAATGGCAGTTATTAACCTGATTTAGTAACTGAAAATTGGGAACGAAACTGCTGGATGTTTCTTTTCGTGTTAATTTTATTAAAATTACTGAAAATACGAAAAATAAGACCGACATAAAGGTTCAGTAACAAATAGCCGTAAAAATTATAAACTGTTATGCGAATTTAAGGTACAATATAACTTACAGTTTCGTAACTTATCTTCCGGTTTACTTGGCTGAAGTGATTATGTGCTTAGTTCGAGTTTTTTAACGTTCTTGAGAGTATAAGAGCTAACTCAATTTTGTATGCAGTTGCAACAGCGCCCCTAGCGACAAACGTAGGCAAAGTTCCAACTCCATGCGTATTTGACGTAACTTTTACGCTATCGAGAACGTTAAAAAACTCGCACTAAGCACACCATAGACTCAACAACGTGAACACTATCACCTTGAAACATGAGATCGATGTCTCAGTTTTATTTGGACACTGGTTAAAATAAATAAAAATTCTAAGATAAAGTAATGCTCTTTATTAAGACTTTAATACTGGAGCATCAATAAAAATTACCAATTAGTATAAATAAATAAATAGTACAAAAGTTGTATACAAAAAAATAGTAGCTTAACAGATAACAAAAGATTCGTAACAAATTATTCGCGTTGACTAGAATAAATATTTTTTTTGGACTTAAATGAAACTTTGGTGTAATGTAATCATAAAGATGAATAAACAATTTTGATATGACAACACCTTTTTAAGGTTTATTTTTGAGTTGAGACGAAAAAGCGATTTTAATTTTATAATTACTTTTTGCTGTTAAATTTTTTATATGTTATTGCTCTTCAAGCAAGTTCTTTATTAATGATAAGAGCAAAAAAAATTGTTGCCATTCCAAAAAATGTGTAAATTGTTTATTGGCTAGAGAGATTCGTGAGCAGTTCTTCCTGGATGCTGTTGGACCTGGTGAGCAGTCTCGGTGCGAACTGACCGAAGGCTTCGGTTAACGTGTCTGCTTGCGATGCTTCATGGGCCTTACGTTCGTGGTATTCATCTGAGAATTCCTATAAACAAAGTAAAGGGTTCGTTTACAATAAACTATGCTGTGTGCTAAGTGCGAGTTTTTTAACGTTTTCGGTAACGTAAAAGTTAGCTCATATTTGTATGGAATGGGATCGTTTGCGAACTTTTGCCGCTAGGAGTGCTGTTCCAACTGCATTTACAATTGGCATAACTTTTACGCTATCGAGAACGTTATGAAACTCGCACTAAGCACAATGGTAGCCGAGCCAACGGCTATATGATATGTACGGTGGAATCATCAAAAACCTGAGCGTCGGATGTTAAAACTCGTTGCGAATGGTTGGCTTTGGATCGTACCCAGTGCTCAAGATGTTCATGAGGGATCGGTAGGTGCCTATCCCTCATGAACCTAGTGCTTACGCTAAGTTCTAACGTTTGAAACGTTTAAATCTTTTGTTCTAGAAATAAGATACCGATGTGACTTATAGAAATTAGATCGCGGCTATTTATTGTACATAGAACGAGAATTATAGTCAAGAATGGCTCTTTTCAAATAAAATCGTCTTTTCAAATAAAAAATAAATAATAGTTTAAAAAAACTAACAAAATACGCTTTTATAGAAAATGAATTTTAATAAATTTGAATTTAAAATAGTGTAAGAAAAAATGATTTTTTTGTAAAAAAAGCATGGGGTGCTTTTCAGGATATTATCACTATAACTCTTCTACTCATATCTGTTCATAAAATATTTACTACTGATACCATGCTAACCATTTTAAACTATTATTTATTTTTCATTTTTTAGNAACTAACAAAATACGCTTTTATAGAAAATGAATTTTAATAAATTTGAATTTAAAATAGTGTAAGAAAAAATGATTTTTTTGTAAAAAAAGCATGGGGTGCTTTTCAGGATATTATCACTATAACTCTTCTACTCATATCTGTTCATAAAATATTTACTACTGATACCATGCTAACCATTTTAAACTATTATTTATTTTTCATTTTTTAGTTGAATTTAAATTTTTTCAATATTTTTTTTAATATTGAATTGTCATCGGTCCTTAATAAGTATACCACATTTCGAGTTAATCCGACGTTTTGAAGGGGGTTTTGAGGGGGGATCATGTTCAAAGATTCCGTTACACACTAACATACATACGTCTGAAGCTAATAAAAGCGTATTAATAAGTACAGTTTCCTGCTCAGTTCTCGTACCTTAAGTTTACTGCTTGAGAAAATAGCTCGTTCTCTCTTCTTGCTGATGAAGTCCGACTGCGCTAGCCAACGGTGCTCGTGGCACTCCTCGGCCGTCGGACGCTTCAGGGGAACCTTCTTGAAGACGAACATCAGGAATCTGGTCGCCTCCTGAACAATCATCGGTGCTTAGAGAACTTTGTTCGCAGTCCCCATTTCAGAAATCTTTCAATAGGTGCTTGATACGTAAAACTTTTTATAGTTCGGGGAAAGCATTTGAAGCTATGTACATAAGTTGTCAAATGCTAAAACAGGGTTTGTTTATTTTAATTTTTTTTATATTATTTTTATATTGTTATTTGTATATTATATATTGTTAATGTTAATTGTTATTTTAATATATTTAATACTCTTGCATTGTATATTGTTTAATATAGCAGACTGTCTTACAACTATCACGTCTGATGTTATCGATATCAACAATTGCAGTACAAACAATATATTCGTCTACATTTTGATTTCAAACATTATCTATATCTTGTTTCGACCACTGGACACTAGTAGTAATAATACAATTACCATATTTGGCTCAAGAAATTACAAAAAAAAACATGTATTGGTTCAGAACTATGATGTTTGTTTAGATCGGGTTAAAAAATTAGCAGAAATGTAAATGCCTCATAAATGTTAAATGTATTTTTGACGTGACAACGTCTTAAAATTCGATGGAGCCGGCTGCACGCACGAAAAAACATGACTCATGCGGCGTTACCTAGCTCTGAGGCGTATTTTCTTATGACGTTGTCACGTTCAACTATCGTCAGTAAACCGACTTTACAGACAACCGATTTTTTTTATTCATGCAATGGCCTGCGGAATCAAAACGGGCTGTCCTTATGTACAAATAAGGGATTAAAGTCGTCGTGGCCTAAAGGATAAGACGTCCGGTGTATTCGTGTTGAGCGATGCACCTGTGTCCGAATTCCGAAAATCCGGAATTAATAAAAAACAAACCCGCAAAATTGTAATTTGCGTAATTACTGGTGGTAGGACCTCTTGTGAGTCCGCGCGGGTAGGTACCACCGCCCTGCCTATTTCTGCCGTGAAGCAGAAATGCGTTTCGGTCTGAAGGGTGGGGCAGCCTTTGTAACTATAATAAGATCTTAGAACTCATATCTCGAGGTGGGTGACGCATTTACGTTGTAGATGTCTATGGGCTCCGGTAAACAATTAACATCAGGTGGGCTGTGAGCTCGTCCATCCATCTAATCCATCGATCATCCAGCAATTAAAAAATAACATTAAATAAATGTTTATCGCGCATCGTATCTACGTACTCTGCGAAAGATTAAATTCCACAGTGACTCTCGACTCGTACTGACCTGCGTGATCTCGCTGTACAGATGCTCGAATCTGTATCTGACGAAGGAGATGTTCTGTTTGGTCTCATTATCGTCGTTTCCTCTGAAGGGAGAGACTCCGCTCAGCAAGATGTAGGCCAGGACTCCGATGGACCAGATGTCCGTCTGAGGATACGCTGGCTCGTCGTTTATTATTTCCGGGGCTGAAAGGAAAGTAGTTTAAACTCTTTGATTTTATAATAGTATGAATCACACGATTGCTGTGCGGGAGAAGCAGGTAGGTACAATGGTGGTACAATGGGACGGAACCTGCCCTTGCCGCTCACTATGAGTAAGTACATATGGTCTATTGGTATTTTATACACGATCTTCCTTCCACTCTGAAATTTAGCCAAGAGAAACCGAAAGAAACAGTATAAATTGAAAAATAAAGCCCACCTTTGTATTCTAGATGTCCAACCTGCGGCACACTGGTGCCGAGCTTGGTGACTTTATGAGCAGATCCAAAGTCTACGAGTTTGACCTGCACCGAGCGGACGGAGGCCATGACGAAGTTGTCTGGCTGTAGGTCCAGGTGGCAGTAACCGCGCCAGTGCAGGTACTGTAGTCCGTCCAACGCCTGCGTGATCACCGTGGCCACCAGCTGCTCCGAGTACTGATGGCGACTTGCCAGGAACGTCAGCACGTCTGCCCCTTGTAGTCGCTCCAAGATCAGAACGGAAACCGGTGAGCCTGGAGCTCTGTACGCTGAGAGCAGGTTTGCGATCCTCTCGTGCCGCAGCCTTCGCAGACACTCGTACTCTCGCTGGACCAGGACCTCGGTCTCTGGTCTGTTCTCGAGGATCTTGGCGACCACGACAGTGTCGTTTGTTTTGTCAACTCCCTTGACAACAATGGAGAACTTCCCGCGCCACAGCTCTGAGATGAAGCTGTACCGCTCTGTGAACGTATTGGCGCTGTACCATTCCACGGGCTGCTTCTCGGTCGAGTAGTCTAACTGGGGCTTTTCTTCATCGAGAACAATCTCCTGGCCGGATTCGGTGAGCTGTTGAAGATGCCTCATAGCTTTTGTGACTTCGATCTTGCTCGCACCAGCCTCACGCGTCTTGACAAGGTTGGTGGGAGCACCCTTCTCGCTCCAGCCTATTCGGTTTCTGGAGGAGAGGCGGAACTGGTAGCTGGTGTCCGGACTAAGATCTCGGACGACGAAGAACTCGTGGTCGATGTTGTTGGCAACCTCTTTCCACTCGACGCTGTCGCCGGCCTTGTACTGCAGGCTGTAGCAGAGGACAGGCGAGTTGCCGTCGTACTTGGGTTGTTTCCAGCGTAACAACACTTCTGTGTCTGAAACCTCAGCAGCGGTAGGAACGTCAGGAGCGTCAGGTGTGGTAGCTTCTACAACCCTGGTGCGAGCGACCGTCTGCCCCACTTTATTCCTGGCGACCACCTTGTAGAATCCAATGTCGTGATGCATGGAAGGATTGAACTCGAGCGTAGAGCGTCCCTCTTCGTCTTCCACGATCTTGATGCGTTGTCCTTCAGCGATGACCATGTCGTTTTTGAACCACTGGATGACGGGCTTGGGGTCGCCGACCGCGAAGCAGGACAGCTTGGCGGGTTCACCTTCCCTGACCGGTAGTAGCTGCGGCTTCTCGCGGAAGAAGGGCAGACAGCCGTCCTTCTTGGCCTCCATGAAGGCCTGAGCCTCGGCGTAGGAGTCGAGCCGCGTGCCCAGCTCGTGTCGCAGCCTCCGCACGGTGCCGGACTCGCTCCCGTACCCGTTGATCCGATCTCGGCGCTCGTCGTCTATCTCCTCGTCCATGATGTCGGTGAAGCGACGACGTTCTCGTATAATCGGGGTCTGATGAAGACGAACGCTTCGTTATAATTAAAATTACTTTTAAGCATTAACCTCCCATTTTTATTGACTACTAGCTGACCCGGCAGACTTCGTAGTGCCACAATCGATAAATGAAAGACCTAAACTTTTGTATAAAATTAACTTAAAACAAATAAAAGGAAACCGCGTCCGACGGGGGACACCTCAAAGGAAAAACAAAATTGTTATTTTTATTTAATTCTGAGAATTTTCATATTGATCTACCTTTTAAACCTTCTCTGGACTTCCACAAATAATTCAAGACCAAAATAATAATTAGCCAAATCGGTCCAGCCGTTCTCGAGTTTTAGCGAGACTAACGAACAGCAATTCATTTTTATATATAGAGATGTATATTATTTTCGACGTTTTAAATACTTTACAGTTTTCCTGGTCACGGATGACTTACGTCATTACGCTTTAGTAATCGCTTTATTGTTTAAATGTCGCAGGGAACGATGCTACAACGACTATAAAGACAGCTGAATATAAAATTTAATACTGCTGCTTTTGTTCTTAAATCACAAAACTATCTTTAAAGAAACGCAGACCAAACGTATTCAGAAGAAAGTATTAATAGAAAGAAGAAAGTATTTTTTCTGTTTTTTTTTTGTATCAATAACATTTCACCTTTAAATAGATTTAGAGAAGAAATAAAAAACCCTTATTTTCATTATTGCTGAAGTCGACGAAATGAATCGCTTTCAATGTAGCTATGTATGTACAAGCTCGAACTAAAATTAACTAAAATTTTGAAAACTCGAACCTAAGAAACAATCCGAGCTAATTCACACAAAGTGAAGTTAATTAAGCTCTCGCCGTTTGGATCATAAGGCATAAATTTGTCTGATGCGTATGAAGTTGAATTTTTTTTTTCTTTTTATTGATGCACAAAAGAAATTACAACTATAGAAATTATAAGTTTAAATGTTTAACATAACAATCTGGGTTGCAATTCAAAACAGAAAAATTATAACAACTGAACAGATGCCTAAATACCATGTATACATACACACATACGCTTACACACACGCACAACCGCACGCACAAACACTCACACACATGTAAGTTACTATCTGATTAAATTAAATCTAGTGTATCATTAACTGGTTAAGATGGAGTGTCTCACCCTGGGGTCGTAGTTGTCGAAGGCGTTGATGCTGTATGCCGGCGAGCGGTGACAGGCCACCTTCATGTACTCCCGGAGCCGCACCGGGAACTGGGTGTCCCGCAGTTGCAGCAGATACGTGTCCGGGCCGTTCTGGTAACTGTACAGTACATCGGTATTTTAGATTGACGTTTTAGATGTTTTAGATCAGTTTCTTCTTCTTCTTCTTTTTCTCCACCTTATGGGATCGGCACGGCTTTCAGGTCGTCGTGGCCTAAAGGATAAGATGTCCGGTGCATTCGTATGTAGCGATGCACCGGTGTTCGAATCCCGCAGGCGGGTACCAATTTTTCTAATGAAATACGTACTTAACAAATGTTCACGATTGACTTCCACGGTGAAGGAATAACATCGTGTGATAAAAACCAAACCCGCAAAATTATAATTTGCGTAATTACTGGTGGTAGGACCTCTTGTGAGTCCGCACGGGTAGGTACCACCGCCCTGCTTATTTCTGTCGTGAAGCAGTAATGCGGTTCGGTTTGAGGGGTGGGGCAGCCGTTGTGACTATACTGAGATCTTATAACTTGTATCTCAAGGTGGGTGACGTATTTACGTTGTAGAGATCTATGAGTTCCAGTAACCATTTAACACCAGGTGGGCTTGTGAGCTCGTCCAACCAAGCAATAACAAAAAAAAAAGTTTCTTCTTTTTCTCCACCTCATGGGGTCGGCACAGCTAATATTTCTCTTTCATTCTTTTCTATCAGCTGTCATCTCAAGACTCATTCCTCTATCTCTCATATCGTTATTCACACACTCCATCCATGTCTTCTTCGGTCGACCTCTTCCCCCTCTACCTTGCACTACCGTTTCCATACATTATATTTATCAATTCCTTAGACCTAAAATCTATAGTTAACTGGTTATTGAAGTCTATAAATATCTCAACGTAAATGCCGCTTTCAATCAATCTTATTGTGTAACAACTGTTTTCAACTAGAAACGTGATACTGGGTCGTGGTAGAAACAGGGAAGGTGGTGGTACCCACCAAGTAAAACCATTAACTCTTCGTGTCATTGACCCAATAGATCATATGCAAGTATGAGTGTAAGAGATCATCTTACAGGTTACACAAATAGTTGAGTTATACTGACTGGCTCTCAGAGGTGGCGGAAACCTCCCAGTCGGGATGGTCCCACTGCTTGAAGTTGAGATCGAACTCTGCTGGCTTACGGTCGCGGGTGCTGATGTCGCGGTCTGGAGTTCCTGTAATATTAACAGATACAATATAGTTAATAATAACACATACCTTACAAGTCTTTTTACGTTTCTACGGTATTTTCACTAAGATTCCTTATCTAACTCTCATCTAATTCCTATGTTGAGGTATATTGGTATTATTTTTGCCGACAAGCAACTGCTGGCTTGCAAGGAACTTTAAAGCTTACAGGTAGCTTTTAAATAATACAATGAAGGCTTCAATCTGACGTCTCAAGGTGACGGCATTATCATATTTATTAAGTGGTAAAGTAGATAGACTATTTTTGGCTGTTTGCATATTGGTTGTATATTTGCCACTGATTTCCTAATAATAGTTCTATTTTTAATCGTGATGGATAGGACGACTACTGAAACCTATAGGTATCTTTACCCTCTATACCTCCCTTGCAATCAGGTTCCAGGTCCCCAGATCAGGGTCCCAGGCAATCGTATCTCGTACAACTCTAATGAACTTAATCAGAAGTCAATAGGGAGCGCAAGAAGTTAGATCCCTACTTCACTTGGAGAGGATGAACGTGGAAATGACCCATGCGACGAGACTTATCGGTGACCATACAGAGATACAACTGTAAACACATGGCTATGGCTCAGAGAAATGTAATTGAGTAATGAAATATGGCAAACCTTCTGGTGTGTACGTTTCCCCGGGTGGATACACCATCTTAGAAGGATGGTGGAAGGCGCCCTCAAGCGGCCGACGCCGGAACCACGTGCGGCACTGCGCGTTACTTGTCCAGTCTCTGCGGGGAGAGGGACAGGCAGAACAATTAAGTTTAATACGGAGCCCTATAATGACTTTGCAATACTTTAAATGATAACATATGGCATAAGAGCTCGCGGTGATGTTAGTGCTGTTATAGCACTACCTTGGACTATAAAAGCAACTTACCTGTACAAATTGTAGTAGTTCCTCAATCGATCAGTCGAGATCTGGTACTCCTCCTGGTAGATTCGATCCGCCAGCGTCAGCCATGGATGCGACAGAGCCGTCCTCACGTCCATACGTTCGTGCCAGTTAAACACCAACAACTTCGAAATGAAATCCCTGGACTCCGTACTGAGGCGGGACCACCATTCCTCATCGTGCCAGCTCCAAGTGCCTTCTTTAATTCTCGTCAGAGTCTCGCGGTCGTTTTGACCTCGGAATGGTGAGTGTCCGCTGAGCAGGATGTAGGTTATGATACCGACACTCCACATGTCGGCTGGGAAGGAGACGCCATCGCCGTTGGCTACTTCGGGGGCCACATACTCCGGCATCCCGTAGTGGAGGGCGCCCAGTTCGTTGTGCCTAATGCGACGCGATAGTCCGAAGTCGCATATCTTTATATCGTCGCTGCCGGCGTGCGAGAGTAAGAGTTCGCCGATCTACGAAGGAGAAGGTCAGGGTGAGAGAAGATCCTTCATATGTTTAATTAATCTATGATCAGTTAGCTACAATTTTAACGGCTAGCGTCACATCTATACTTAATATTATAAAGAGGAAAGATTTGTTTGTTTGTTTGTATTGAATAGGCTCCGAAACTACTGAACCGGTTTGAAAAATTATTTCACTGTTTGGAAGCTACACTATTCCTGAGTGACATAGGCTTCACCTTTTTTGAAAAAAATTAGGGATCCTTACTATAACTCCAATAATGTAACCCAAGGTGTAAAAAAAATACCTAAAATATTCTTTACATCGCGTGCCCTGCGAAAACTATTTATGATAGAATAAAATAATGTACTACGACTTTGTAGAACACATTATTATTTACAAAAAGTGTCGTGACAGCATATGTCTAACTATTATAGTTGTGCCACAATAAGTGTTCTTTTATTTAAAAAATAAAACAAGGTCAAATATCATTGAATTTTTTGTTAAAGACCCGAGCGGAGCCGGAGCGGGCCGCTAGTATAATATAAGATTATTTACATACAATGAGGAATGTCATACCGTTAGTCCAAGGTGCGCTACGCTGTTATCGTGCATATGCCTTAGTCCCAGTAGCAGTTGCCTGATGATAGAGGCAACCCGTCGCTCAGGATAGGAAGGAACCCGCAGGAGTCCGTCCCTGAGTAGCTCCCCTCCCGCCGCCAGCTCCGTGACCAGCGCCACGGTGTGGTCATGCTCGTGGGCTCCGTACAGCCGGATCAGATGCCGGTCGTTAAGCAGGTTCATGATGTCTATCTCGTTCTTCATGAATGGCTTCAGTTCGGAATGACCGTGCATTATTTTCGCAGCGTAGTTGCGTCCTGATGAAATATATTGTTCGATTAGTATTGTTATTGGAAGATGAAATAAAAGTTCTTAAACCTTATCTTTGTTTTTATTGCTTAGATGGGTGGATGAGCTCACAGCCCGCCTGGTGTTAAGTGGTTACTGGAGCCCATAGACATCTATAACGTAAATGCGCCACCCACCTTGAGATATAAGTTCTAAGGTCTCAGTATAGTTACAACGGCTGCTCCACCCTTCAAACCGAAACGCAATACTATGTGAGGTTTATAGGGAGATGAAGGAAGAGGAGGCGTGTGCGTTGGTTGTTTGTTGCATGTTGTCCTCCATAAACCTCATCGGAGCGGTCAACACTACGTATAATCACATGTTTATTCGCGTCAGCAACCGCGGTGGATCGCTGCACGTTAACCACTGACTGACTAACGTATGCTGCTCATTACTAGATGCACAATAACTGCATAGTAAGCTAAGCGGGGCGGGGTGACATTCCCCTACAGCTGCTTCACGGCAGAAATATGCGGGATGGTGGTACCTACCCAGACAAAGAGGTCCTACCACCAGTAAGCCCATAGACATCACGACGTGAACATTGCTACCACAACAAGGTCGAAATCTCAATTATATTTCACAACGTCTGTCCCCTACCCTTCAAACCAGAAGATATTACTGTCTTAGGACGGTGCAGTGTGTAAGTCACTTCCAGGTTCAAGTCCCAAATACAAATATTCCGGTATACGGTAGGTAGCGGCTTGGCTCTGCCCCTGGCATTGCTGAAGTCCATGGGCGACGATAACCACTCACCATCAGGTGGGCCGTATGCTCGTCTGCTAACAAGGGCAATAAAAAAAATACTTATGCAAAATGCGCTTTTAGAGGCTGTTAGGAATCGGGCACACGTCTTTATCATCAGGTTTTAGAAAGAATAGAAAGTATAGGATGTCGCTGGAGTACTGACCGGTGAGTCTCTCGGCCGCGTGGTACACGGCGCCCTGGACTCCGCGGCCCAGCTCGTCGCCCAGGTCGTACTGGTCTCCGAACGGCTTCGTGCTGGCCTTCACGCGGGGCGGGTGCTCGCGGATCCTGTTGATCACGATATACTCATCAGCTTTAAGTACTACTTTGCATTAAGAAAATTTCAAATAATGTAATCAGTTCAGTTTAATGTAATCAAATAATAATTGAAATTTCTACTAGAATTTTTTTTTCTATTTCCACATATAGATAGGCATGGAATAAATAGTACATTGTGCACCAAGGGAGAAAAGTTTGACATTTCCTCCCGCGTGTAAAATGGCAAGTACGCGGGATCAAATGTCCTACTTTTTTCCCATACAATTTTTTCTCCTTCCAGGTCGAAAGTTCGACATTGTTATAAACTTAGCACCCGTGGAGTACCGAGCCGGGGTTCAGGGGCGAAACCCTGGTTGCGAGTAGGGGGGGGGGCGGAGCCCCCCACTCATAAAAAAAACAATTTAACTTTTTCTTAATTTTTAAATAAACTACTACTACTAATTGAATAAGAACTGTCTGATTAACTCATCTTTGTTTAATACTTCACTATTAAATTTTATTGCCTTTTGTTTATTTCACTTTTACACTAAACACAATATTGCAAATTACCCGAGCACAACAATGGCGGAGAATTTTAGGTGCGTGAGAGCAGACGTAGACACTAACGCGCATGCGCATTTGTCCAGCAGTACCCAGGGAGGAAAAGTTAGACTTTCTTCCCTGTACAGCGGGAGGAAAACCGAACTTTCGGCGTCGGTAGGAGAAAAAAATTATTTTCAATTTATTTTACTAACTTATTCCTTAGTATCAATGTGAAATATTTCGCTGTGGTATGTACTACTGTCCTTAGCAAGAGTCTAAGATTCAGAGATTAGATTTAGAGATTTAGATTTAGAGTATCATCATTTTTCCGTTTCAAATCATTGCTGCGTCACAGAAGTGTCCGCTTCAAGAACTGCACTTTGAAGTACGTAATTGTGTGAATAGAACCAGTACCTGTCAGCGTATTCATATTCGTCTTCCTCTACGTGCAGCATGGCCGAGGAGCTGACAGAGCCGGCCACGTTCCTCGCGGACACGGAGTAGAGACCCTCGTCCTTCAGGATCGCGTCTTTGATCACCAGCACCGTCGTGTCCGGCTCGATGAACTGTATCTGATGATGTCGGATGGTGAACAGCAAATGTAGCGATCGTGAAACGAAACACTTTGTGAGTAAGTATATCCTTTTTTTTTATTGCTTTGGTGGGTGGACGAGTTACGGTCCACCTGGTGTTAAGTGGTTACCGGAGCCCGTAGATATCTAAAACGTAAATGCCGAAATCGCCTTACTGCTTCACGGCAGAAATAGGCAGGATGGTGGTATCTACACAAGACGTCCTACCACTAGTAAATCATTGTCCAATTTTAAATAAATCATGCTTAACGGATAAGACGTCCGGTGCATTCGTGTTGAGGCGATGCACCGGTGTTCGAATCTCAGGCGGGTACCAATTTTTCTAATGAAATACGTACTCAACAAATGTTCACGATTGATTTCCACGGTGAAGGAATAACATCGTGTAATAAAAATGAAACCCGCAAAATTATAATTTGCGTAATTACTGGTGGTAGGACCTCTTGTGAGTCCGCGCGGGTAGGTACCACCACCCTGCCTATTTCTGCCGTGAAGCAGTAATGCGTTTCGGTTTGAAGGGCGGGGGCAGCCGTTGTAACTATGCTTGAGACCTTAGAACTGATATTTCAAGGTGGGTGGCGCATTTACGTTGTAGATGTCTATGGGCTCCAGTAACCACTTAACACCAGGTGGGCTGTGAGCTCGTCCACCCACCTAAGCAATAAAAAAAAACCCTATTTTTTTTTACTAAACATAATATTCAATATATGATTTCGTACCTTGATTCTGGAGCTCGGTGCCAATGGCTGCCAATCCTTGTACCATTTAATATCAGGATACGGCACTCCCGTGACTCTGGCCTCCAGTCGGACGGTCCTCCTCTGCAGCACCACTGTCTCCTCAGGTCTGCGTATGAAGGTGGGATACTCTGCTAGTTCCAGCCGGACTCGCTGTCGAGCCTGACCGTGCTCGTTGGTGGCGACGGCTTCGTACCAGCCAGCATCACGTTCCAGCATCCTGGAGAAACGGGTACAATTTTTTTTACTAACTTAAATTAGCAGATATGGTTATCGGAGCCCATTTTGACATAATAATAAAGAGCGGGTAATATTTTATTTATTTATTTAATCGATGAGTGAATGAGCTCGCGAACCATCTGGTAATAAATACTGTTACTAAATTCTACTGAATTACAAGTTAATACTGTATTAGCCACTTAAAACACTTCACAAACACTTTAAAATTCTCAATTCACTTCTTCCGCTTCGCTTCAGGCGATCCATTTGCGGTTTCGCTTCGAGTAGTTCCGATTACTGACTAACTGCATGCCATTTCTGCATCGCTGTTATTTATAGCCGTTACTACTTCCCTAGAATTATCGAGAATATTCCACACATTTCGAGTACTGTGTTTTCTGCTATTTGACAATAGATGGCGTTATACTCCTCGAGCGGTGTAGATGTTACTAGATATTCGTTCGGCTATTCGGCGATAGATGGCGTTACTCTTACCGGCGTAACAATACTTAGCTAAGCCCATGGACATTACAACGTGAATACCGCTACCTACACTGAGACATGAAATGAAAGTTTTAATTGAAGCCTTGAGTGACTACCTTCATTGTTGAAATAGGCAGGATAGTGGTGCTCACTGGTTCGGGCTCACAATTTGACCTGCCATTAGTAAAGTGGTAAATAGTTAACGCGACTTACTTATTGATGAACAGCGTGGCTTGGCCGTTCCTCGTGTAACTCCAGTCGTATCTGCCGCCTATTTCAATCGGTTCATCATTGAAGAAGTACGTCATCTTGGGCTTCGGGTAGCCGTAGACGAACCAGAACAGGTTGACATTGTGTCCCTTGACCCCGTACTGCGAGTCATGCTCCTGACGCAGGAAGCGAGGAGCCTGAGCGTACCCGTCATGGGGCGGACGCTCGATATCGAAGTCCCTAGGGAAGTAAGGCGAGGTCTCCGGGCGGAAGTCGATGCCCGGCTCTAGGTAGGGGACGAACTTCGGAGGGTCGGGCTCCAGCTTGGCGCGGTGCGTGATGGCGAAGGGCGAGGGATCGCTGACCCCGTATTTGTTTTCGACGCGGATGCGGAACTTGTAGTCGCGGAAGGGCTCGAGGTTGCGGATGTCGCACACACACGAGCGCAGCCCCGTGCGGGCGGTGAACCAGTCGCCGTCAGGGACCTCACACATCTCCACCTGCATGACAACACATGCTTCGTCAGACCATGTCAGAGTCAACATAATCTATACTAAGTAATATTATAAAGAGGAAAGATTTGTTTGTTTGTTTGTTTGTTTGTTTGTATTGAATAGGCTCCGAAACAACTGAACCGATTTGAATAATTATTTCACTGTTTGAAAGCTACACTATTCCCGAGTGTCATAGGCTATAATCTTTTTGAAAAAAATTAGGGATCCTTACTAAAACTCCAATAATAAAACTATTGATGATAGAATAAACTAATGTACTACGACTTTGTAGAACACACTATTATTTACAAAAAGTGTCGCGGCAGCATATGTCTAACTATTATAGTTACGCTGCAATAAGTGTTCTTTTATTTAAAAAAATAAAACGACGTCAAATATCGTTTAAATTTTTATTAAAGACCCGAGCGGAGCCGGAGCGGGCCGCTAGTATAAAATATTATACCATGGGAACTTTGATTTATCATCCAAGTCCCCAATTCAGTGTAATAATATTTTGAATGTTCCTTTTATTTCACTAAAATTTGAAGTCGTGGTGACTTAAAGGATAAGGCGCCCGGGTATTTGTATCAAGCGATGCGACTGTGGCGGTGTTCACATATTGTTGTAATGTGATAGGTACTTAATACATCACGGATAACTTCCACGATGAAGCAGTAAGGTCTTATGATGAAATGAAACCCGCAAATATTTTAATTTTGCGTAACTGTTAACTAGTATGAAGTCGTCTAGTTTGAGTATATACAAGCCTCGAATAAAAACATTTGGGAAGTCGCCGCGTCGATTTACCAAGAAATCGCTCTTGCTTGGTAGAAGACATTGCCTTTGTCATGGACTAAAAACCTGATTATAAGTTTTAAAAAAAATGTTATTAGTTTCTTAGCTTACATTATAACTTTTATTAAAATGGAAAATAGTGACCTGATATGTGACCGGGAAGCGAGGTCCATGAGGGATGGACGGCTTCCAGGATAAGGTGAGGTGCCTATCAGTCATGCGCGAGATGATGGGCCGGTCAGCAAGGGGCATGGGGATGCCGGTCTTCTTCATCTTATCGAAGTCAGAGTACTGGTCCGAGATTGGACGTTTGCTTGCGTGCGGCTCCATACCTGGTGGAAATTCAATCACTGACTCACTGATTTATTCATCAGACGATCATCGACCGGGCTGGGGCACTAGAGATGTCCCCTAATCGAACAGCATCAGACACGAGTCATACGAAGCGGGCGTCAAACTTTCTTAATATAAACATTAAATACTTTTAAATTTAAGTGATATCTATACATTTAAATAAAATAAGAGTGTCTGTTTGTAGTATTGAGATAACCGCTTTTTACTACATGCATATGAATATATACGGTACATACACCAAAATAACATTTTTTACAATTTTTATTTGTCTGTCTGTCTGTCTGTTTGTTCCAGCTAATCTCTGGAACGGCTGGACCGATTTTGATGATGATTTTACTAATAGGTAGCTGATGATATAAGGAGTAACTTAGGCTACCCGCAGTTATTGTCGTACCGCGCGCAACATAGCGGGCTTCACCTATCAATTCGCCTATAAAATTTAATGTTTCCGAAGCGAAGCGCGAGCGGGTCGCTATTGAACATAAAAGATAACGATTTTGAATTTTCATCCTGTAGGAATTGCGATGCCAAATAAAATTTACAAAATATGGCATAGCTGTAATGCTTCTGCACTGAAGGTCACGTTATGGTCAAAAGGTCCATGAGGGTTCGCAGTGGGGTGCTGTCTCTTACTGTCGTAGGTGAGCTGTGCTGTGCAGGAGGCTTCCCCGTGAGGGTTGGTGAGGGTGCAGCGGTAGGTGCCGACGTCGCAGGGCTCCACGCGGCTCAGGTTCAGCCGCAGCAGCCCCGTGCTCTCCTTGTCCATGCGGATCCGGTCCGAAGGGAACAGCTTCTCGTCGTTGCGATACCTTACCAGAACAATCATACCGTGACTAGCTGTTCACTTTAACTGTTAAAGCTGTTTTTTTTTAATACGCTTTTATTGGCTTCAGACGTATGTATGTTTGTAACGGAATCTTTGAACATTATTTTGACCCTCTACAAAACGTCGGATTAACTCGAAATTTGGTATACTTATTAAGGACCGATGACAATCCAACTAAAAAATAGAAAATAAAATTTAAAATAGTGTAAGAAAAAGTTATTTTATTGTAAAAAAAGCGTGGGGTGCATGGTATCAGTAGTTATAAATATTTTATGAACAGATATGAGTAGAAGAGTTATTTTGATAATATCTTGAAAAATACCCCACGCTTTTTTTACAATAAAATCATTTTTTCTTTCACTATTCTTAATTCAAATTTATTAAAATTTATTTTCTATTTTTTAGTTGGATTTTCTATAAAAGCGTATTTTGTTAGTTTTTTTAAACTATTATTTATTTTTTTGTTACAGTGTCTAATTGTTCTAGATAAGATAAGATCATCGCTTTATTTTCTTATCGAATCCATCCACTAACGTACTTATTTTCGCATCAAATAAGCATTGAGTCCTCTGAGTATTGTATTGAAGAGAAGTGGAAATTTTATCTGTACTAATATATAAATCTTCAGTGGTTTTTACGAATGTTCCGTTATAATTACTGAACCATGCATCCGATTGACTTGAAACTTCGTATCCATCTAGAAAATACTAGTACTTAATGGATAGGCTCATATTTATATCAGCGTTGGACTCCCTAATAATAATGACAATAAATAATAATGTTAATTTCAAATGCCCAGCGAAGCGGGCGAGTACGGCTAGTAATTCTATAATTTTAAACAGAATGGTTAAACGCATCACACCATTGCACGTCGGGTTCTGGGGAGCCGGTTGCGCAGGCGGTAAACTTGGCGCTCATGCCGCGAAGCACCTCAATGTCTCCGATCTTCTTCAGGAACGACGGAGGCTCCACCTTCTGCTGCCTGGCGCTAGAGTAAACGAAATAATATCATGTAATTTTTTCTCCTACCTACGCCGAAAGTTCGGTTTTCCTCCGGCTGTACAGGGAAGAAAGTCTAACTTTTCCTCCCTGGGTACAAGTGCGCATGCGCGTTAGTGTCTACGTCTGCTCTCACGCACCTAAAATTCTCCGCCATTGTTGTGCTCGGGTAATTTGCAATATTGTGTTTAGTGTAAAAGTGAAATAAACAAAAGGCAATAAAATTTAATACTGAAGTNCATTGCCTCGATGGAGCGTAAGCGCAGAGTTACGTTCCTCAGCAGTGCCAGATCTATTGTGCTCGGACGACGCGCGGCGTTGTACGGATAGTACGTGGGGGTCGGGGGGTTGAATATTTCGAATGTGAGGTCGTCTATGAACGCGTCGAGACGCCTACCGTTCACATTCGTGCGATGGCAGTTCCACCTAGTGTGGTGGAAATTTAAATCGCCTGCCAGGATGACCGCGTCCCCCATACCGAACAGTGTCTCGAGGTCACTGCTCAGGAGGGGTTTGTCAGGGGGGAGATAAACGGATGCGATGACGATCGGCTGGTGTCCCGTCAGCGCGATGCGGCACACTGACGCCTCGATATGTAAGAGAAATACGCTCGAGGTGCTGTTGTATGAATGAAGAGTCTAATAGGTACTCATTTAACCACTTAACTAAAGAAAAAAATCAGTGTTTGTTTCTACGTGAGCCGTCAGAGCGGTCCGTGTCGAAGGCTTTGAAACACTGATAAGGCAGCCCTACACATGATTAAAAACTCTTAGGAACGGTTATTATACGGTATTAGTCGCTCGTGATAAAATCATAGCATTATTTTTATGTTGAAGTCGGTTACTATACTTCTCGATCTCGTTGTACAAAACGAAACCTTGTGATGCAGGAGGTGTAGTTGTCGTTGGTGTGTATGGCACATCCGACATTGTGGTTCTGATTTCGACAAATAACACCCTATTAAACTCATTAAGACAAAATCCATAGTAAAATATATTTCATTACTTGAAATGATGACAACGGAACTGGATTTACTGCAAAAAGTCAAATTTACTGTCTTGACACTGACATTTAGTTCGTGTGGCAAAATTTTCGAATTTAATTAAAATTTACTTCAAAATAACAAGACAGAGAGTGAAGTAACCCTATCATGAAACCATCATAAATATCTTTGATCTCGAATATTCTCAAAAATAACAAGAATATTGCCTTTGTTAATAATGATAGATGTTGTATTGTGATGAAAATTACAAAGCTGTGGTCTTAAAACGATTTGGGATCTCTTTTATACGGATTACTTTTGAAATAATCAATTGATTTATTTAGATACTGAGATAAACTCACAGCCTCCGTGATTTTATGTGGCTGCCGGAGCCCATAGACTTCACAACATGAACTTCATCACCCATCTTGGAATACATGATCAACATCTTGATTGTATGGAACGACGACTCTTTAATATTTGAGTTGGAACCTGTAGTGGCATGGTCGTGGTTATGATTTCCGGCATTGGTGGCAAGCCACACAATATGCCGCCACTCCTTTCTGACTGCCGTTTTTATCTGGTCAGTCCAACTTTCCCAAGCTTTTCCTCAAACTAACCCGAGTCCCCGATGCTAAGACTGAAGTGAGTTTCACACTCGGTAGGTAGCTCATGTTTGTCAAAAAACAATTAATCTATCTATCTTAAACGCCTGAAATATAGTTGATCGTGACGTAAAGGACTAAACATAAAGTGCACCCTCACCCCCGTCCTTTCAGTAAAAACAATAATAAGAACTAGGTGCTTCTATCTCTACTAAGCTATGATAACGACAGATTGGCGCGCCGATATTCTACAAAACTAAACACAGTATTACAAATATTAACCGACCTGATACCCCAAATTCTCCAAAACCCGACACTTGGAAAACACGTAAACTTCCTCCAAGACACTGTTCAATCACATACAAGCGACCACAAACTAACCGCAGGTTAGGAACTACCCCAAGCCGCGCACCCCAAGCCCGCACCCCAAGCTCGCCAGGGCCGCGTATATTTACGGGAATTCCTCGCGAAATAAATTCTGTCAAACTTTGATAAAGGGTTTTCTATTAGCGTTTGCTCCTTAAAAGCGGTTTCGACGGAAACTTTGAACATTTAAAGACGTAAAGTACGTTGGATATTGGATCTGGTTGAACTTGCTAAGCCAAGTAGTTTAAAAAGTTGCTGTTTGGTGGCAATCTTGTTAAGGCAATGAAGTGTTGGCTCCTTAAGGTCCTTCTATCGAACAGATCCATGCTCCATGCACGTACGTCGTTTATACTTTGTTATGGAAAGTTTGTTACTTCCTAACTTCACTTGCTTGCTTCTGTTCCGTTAGGACATTTGTATTCTAAGTTTAACTTCAACAGTCTAAGTAAGACAAACACTAAATTGATATTCAAGCTTATGTAAATGAAAGATCACTCACAAATCGGTCCAAGTACTAAGAAGATTACAGTATATAATACAGTACGGTATTTACAATTTGGATTACAGCTATAGGAAAATATAAACAATGCCTGCGAATGACTTTATGTGATGTAACCCTAAACTGCTACTAAAAGTTCATCAAAGAACGTCCCCAATTTCACTTAAATTATTAATAAAACTATGTTTAACCAAACAAGGCGTGCCTCGACACGATCCGCTCTGACACTAATGACTTTTCGACATCAATTATCCCGACGAACGAACTTGGCGCTTCTCGGCTCACTACAAAATATGCTGTGACACTTTGATGTTACTTACGGGCTGAGGGGGCCGAGCAGGCAGAGCGGGGTGGGCGGGGCGCCGCGCCGGTAACTTGACTATACTGATTGGATTTTTACTGTGAAGGGCGCGCTGTTAACGCGTAGGTGTAACATTTACTATTCAGCAGCGAAGCGCCCGTGCATTCGAACTAATCAAGTAGGGCAACTGGAGCATGGCTGCTATCTCAACGCACTTCAGACTTATAAAGCGGGCTTCAAGGTGTGTGATAGCATACAGGTCGTCTAATGTAAGGACGTTCATTTAATTATTATGACTATGCACACAAGTGTCCTTTTGGTTTATTCACGTTGGATTTCGTTCCACTGATACATTTTATTTGATGATTGAAAATACAGCATTGAATCAAATTCCAAACGTTCAAATTGAATGGCCGTCGGCTTAGGGCCTGATTTGTTTTTTGATTCCTTTGATGCTTCAGTCTTGGACTAGTAATCATTTTTTAATTTGACACTTTGAATTCATACCGTCTAATTACACCCGATAGACAATAAGTCGATCTATCGAAATAAAAATGGAGAAAATACTTTCTAAAATTACTTTCTGACCATTTTATATCGGATATAAGCAGGGTGGTGGTACGTGCACGTGTGGGATCACAAGACGCCACCACTAATAAGCTGTGTGTTGCTATTATACCTGTGCATCATTGAACAACCCTGCTGAGTTTGGTCATTTTTCTCCGGTCCCTCTATTCCTTCAATTTTATGTTCGATCTATTGAAGATTACTTAACCACGGATCTTCTGCTCCGTTGTTTCCACTCTTGGCAGAGTTCGGGTAGTGGTACGCTTCACCAGACGTCGCCATTCCTCGCGTACCGCGGCTCTTCTTATGCATTCGTTGATGGGACCGTTTAGAGCTGCTTTCATTTGGTCGGTCCATCGTACCGATGATCTGCCGCGCGCTCTTGTACCCACCCGCTATCATGCCCTGCACCACATGATGCTCCACTGAGTTGTGACCCCGTCGCTGCTACGGCGTAACGACGGAGTGTCGGTTCAGTGGAGCTGAGTTACTGGTTAGTCCGTAACTACGGATAAAAATAATAAAACAAGCATTCTTTTGAACCACATAATTATTCTCTAATCCTAACACCTATTGGATTGTGCAACACTTAAATCTACTTTTGATGTTCTTTGAAAAGATATCACCTTAGTTCACGAAATAAAAAGCTTATTTACTTCGGTATATTTTTATTCGTAAAAATATAACCAATTTTAATTCAATATAAATTTTGGAAACGTTAAATGTTAACTGAAAAGGAATGATTTTGCGCGAGGTTCATTGAAATGTGAAAAGGAAGTTATCGGTGTTTTTATTTAATTTTGTTGATACAGTTTTGCTTAATTCCATAAAATTTATGGACAGTTTTATTTTGAAACAACATCCGTAGCTTTATCATTATTGATGTGGAAATTCGTTTATTCGGTCACTATATATTTTGTACTCTTTTTAATGTTAAAAATGTCATTGTTGTGTCATATCCATCATAATCATAATATACATAGGTCCTATACATTAAAATAAAATTATTGCGGATAGGACCAGGATAATAAATACATATATTTTATAGCGAGAGATTGATGAGCCTTAGGCTTGCTCGGTGACTGAATTTATTCTAAGAGAGAGAGAGAGAGAGAGAGAGAGAGAAAGAGAGATTTTAAGTTATTCTTGTAGCGACCCGATGAAACTGATGAAAAATGCTCTTAAGCCGGGAAAGCTTGTAGCTTGTGTTCAGGCAGTTAAGAAAATATCAGGATACCTTTAAAGAACATTTGACGTGAACACACTCAAACCAAACCAATACTAACATTCGCAAAACATTTACAATGCAACAAAATAAAGCCGATGTATCGGTGTGTTTGAAACCTTTGTTGCGGAGAGGCAGCGATTTATCGGCGTACCAGTGGCGATCGGAATCTTTTGTGGTGCGATCCCAAGTTAATTGGAAATGCGGGGCGACCCTAATTGGTGCGGGGCGGGATGAGGCCGACGCTTAAGGAAAATTATTAAATAAACAATTGTTGAACTGTTCTGAATTGAATGGCGTTTGGACACGATTTGCTTTTATTTTATTTTTATTTTACTTTTATTGATCTTAGTGAGGAAAAACTAATAACAAATATGTAGTAAGATGTTAACAACACTTACTTATATTCGTAAATAATCATAATCATCATCGTTATTAGTATTC